TAAAATATGTCCAAGCTCTAAGTAATCGTAACAAGCAAATAAGCAGTCCATATTTTTGTTTTTTATTAGTATATGGTACCATACAATGACAATGCTAGTAATCTGAAATGTCTGGGGAATCTCCAATAAATACTAAATTATTTTTAGCAGTGATAAGTGTAGTGTTTTTGTTGTGTTTTAATTCTTTGAAATGGGCAATTTTTGTATGTGTATTTTTAGTTAGCTGTTCTGGAAAAAATAATAGTTAAGTTCACTTACTCCTTTTACGTGTATATAGCCAGAGTGCAGTTCTCCAGACTCTTGATTCATATCACTTTTGAAGCTGGAGAAATGAAGTAAGATGGTAATGTTCAGTTATGCTTTTTTTTATATCCAATTCACGCCCCCTGTCCCAAGTAAATAATTTTAATGCAAACTGTAGTAAGATATTTCATGGTGGGCTCCGGACTCAGACTGGTTTGGACTGATTTCTGGCTATACCACTTAGTAGCTTTGTGCTCTCGGGAAGTCTTATTACTGTCTCTAAGCCTCAGTTGGCTGCATTTACAAAAATATTCCAGTATTAGGGTTGACAAGATTAGTGGTCAAATAATGTTACTTCTGTTACTATTCATAAATACTAGCTATATAAAAATGCCCTCAGATTATGTAAGTAATACACATTCATTGTCAACATTTATAAAATACAGAAAAGCACAGAGAGGAAAATAAATGACTTATGATTGCACTTTCATTTTTAATGTTGAAATTTTGATGTATAGACTTTTTAAAAAGTGTGTCTTTAAAAAGTGTATATCTTTTTAAAAAATATGTATTTTTTGGAATCTTTTCTTTCACTTACCAGTACGTTATGCATGTTTTTCCTCATGTTTAAGTATTATATAACATTAACAGCTGCATAAGTTTCCTCCGTTATAAGCATTTTGTTTCCAGTTCGTTACTATTGTAAATAATGTCATGAGCATCTTGTGCTTGAACCCACTTTACATTTTGGGTTATTTTATTAATATAAATCACCAAAAAGTAAGTCCTGATCCTGGTGCATTTTTCTAATTTATTTTACAAAATGTTTTCAGTATATAATCTCATCAGCAGTGTATTTTCTTATCTGGTATAATTATGTTAAAAAACAATTTCTTGCCAATTTGGTAAGCTTTATTTGAAGTGGCATTTTTCGATGTATTTGATTCAGATGTAAGGAAACAGGAAATATATTGTGTTTATTTATCAATTTTATTTCTTTAGTAAATTCTTCATACATTTTCTTTGCCTCTTCTGTAAAGTCTTTCCCCAATTTGCTTAGACCTTTCATGTTATAAGGGCCTGCCTGTATTACTTTACTAGGTGAGAGTGGAGTGTTATGGGCTGAATTGTGCCTCCCTAAAATTCATTTATTGAAGTCTTAACCCTCAGTACCTCAGAATATGTTTGTATATGGAGATAGAGCCAGTAATTAAAGAGGTAATTAAGGTGAAATTAGGTCATGTGGGTGGTCCTTAATCCAATGCTGGTGTCCTGATAAAGAAAAGGAGATTAGGACACAGACATACACAGAAGAAAGACCATATGAAGACATAGAAGATAGCCATCTATACACCAAGAAGAGAGGCCTTGACGAAAAAGAAACTCTGTCAAATACCTTGATCTTGGATTTGTAGCCTCCAGAATCATGAAAACATAAATTTCTGTCTTTAAGCCATCCGATCTGTGGTATTTGTTACAGCAGCTTTATCAAAGTGATATAGGGCCTTAACCTTTTGCCTGTCATATTTTTGCAAATATTTTTGACTAATATGTTATTTAACTTTTAATTTTAGGTATGCAATTAGTTTTTTAGAGGTGTAGAATTTTTCTTCTGTTGTCTTAAAGCCTAGGAAATCTTAGATTATTATTTTAAATCTATATTTATGTATAAAAAATTCTTATCTTTCTCAGTTTTTAAGTACTTACAGCATTGTACAACAAAACAGTAAAAATAACAAAAAATTTTCTTACTCTTTGAAAATCTAAAGCTTCTTTATCTATCATTTTTCAGAATTTTAAGGATTTTATCAGGATACCAGTACAACCATTTTGGATAAAGACCTATGAACAAAAGCTCTGTAGCTTGTTTTGCCTATTTACCTATTTACACAGCATTTTCCAACCACATAAAGTGATCATTTGTATAGTCTCCTTCCCTGCTATGAAAATATTGCAGTAGCTGAGAGCTGCTCTATTCCTATTCCCTACTCTGTTCTATTTGGAATAACTCTTTTTTTTTTTTTTTGCCTCTAAAGAAGAAATTGGATGGGAAATTTTACAAGGATCCTACTAATAGGATAGTGAACCTACATCGTTAGATTTTTGCTATAGTGTTGTGCCTTTATTTCAAAAGGCACATTCTTGGGTCCATTCCTTTCACGGAGGCAGATGTGCTGGTCATTTTGGTTGGTTTATTCTGTATGGTTGAGATGTTCATAACTTCATGCTGAGGAAGAAGAATAATAGCACTTGGAAATCCTTCTGATTCTTCAATACTAATTAAGTTATCAACTTTCTCTTTAATCCATTGTAGTTAGATTCAATACATAACTTAAGAAACTTTTATGTAACTTTTAGATAAAAGTCAGTTTTCAAAACTCAGACTAGATTAAAATGGTACATAGTCATCCAGGTAGGATGCAAGCAGCTAGTATTAGATCATTGTTCTTAATGAAAACAACTAGGAAAGGTGCTTTGAAGGCAGCAGGAAACTGCTCAGCCAATAAGTGTAGGAGCCAGAGCTTCAGAGAAGGGAGAATCTTGTGGAGGTGAGCTTACTTCTCCAACAAGTTTTCCCTGGGGGATACTTGCTAATGTGGGGTGTGTACAAGAAACTAAGGATTCAAACTTTAGGCCCAAGAGTACTGTTGCTGAAAGACAGAAAAAAAAGCACAGAGCTTTTGGTGGAGACCTAGGGGAAACCAAGTACTGTAAGGGGATTCTCCCCTCAGTACATTTGTTGAATCCTGGGACTACCTAGGATGGGAAACTTAAAAACCTAAGCAGAAAATCTTTGAAAATCAGAGTGGAGCTTGTAGTGTTTTTACAAGACAAAAATTAGATATGTCATCCTTTTGGGACTAGTCCCCTGAACAACAAGTTTTCAGTTGAAAGGTGGTGGGTAGGGAGGGAAAGGAAAAACCAGAGGTAAAGTAAATCTTAAGGTAGCAACTTAATCTGGACTCAGCATTGTCTAGTAGCCTAACAAAGAGAAGGATGAACCCTCTTTGGAGAAAGATAACATCATCAGGAATCTCTGTAAGTTTTTATATACAAAGATTACAGGATCCACCAAAAGACAGGACTACCTGACTAGAACAAAAGGAAAAACAGATAATAGTAACAGACCCAGAGATGAGCCACATCATTCACTTCCATTTAGATAACAAGCCCTTTAAGTATTTAAAATATGTATTTAAAAATATTTAAAATTTAAATATCGCAAGAAAATAGATGAAACTATAAAGAAAATAGGTGAAATTGAAGATTTTTCATTATGATATTGGATATGTACAAAATTAAATGGAAATTCAAGAAGGGAAAAACTTTCTAAAATTAAAAACTCACTTGAAACATATAATAGAAGACTAGACATAACAGAAGACGGACAAATAGAAAATGTCCAACTGAAGTACTGAGATCAAAGAGAATGAAGAAAACAGAGAAGAGCATTTAGACACTTGTGGTATACATGGAAAGATCTAGCATTTGAATTACCAGAAAGAGAGAGAATTGGGCAGAAGTAATTTCAAAGAAATAATGGAGATAATGTACAGAATTTTCTAAAACTGATAAAACGTATCAATCCAGAGATTTGGGAATTACTGTTTTCCCTAACCAGGAGAGATACAGAGAAAACCACACCTGAACAGTAAGATTGGCAAAAACCAAAGACAAAGAAAAACGTTTTGAAAGGAGTCTGAGAAAAAGGATATGACCTTCAAAGCAGCAAACAGTAGGTCTGAAACTGGACTTCTCAACAGAAACAATGGAAGCCTTCTGGAAATTGTTTTAAGAATATAACAGGTAACCTAAAGATCTATAAATCCAGCAAAGTATCTTCCAAAAACAAAAGTGAAGGAAAAATCATTTCCAGACAAAATCCAAAAGTCCCGTTACGAGCAACCTTACCTAAAAGTCAAACAAATGAAAACACCAATAAAACAAATCAACAACAACAAAGTGAGGATTCTTCAGACAGAAGGAAGACTATCCCATTAAGTTACTGCTGAAGTGAAGAATAATGGAAAAGGTGGATTTGGGAGTTAATATAAATTGATGCTGACTAAATATTAACTAACACCAAAAATAACAGTAATGTCTTCCAGGCTTAAAAGAGAGGTAGTAAAACCAATAAACTAAAAGATGAGAGGAATAAAGGAAGTTAGTATTGTAAGAGTCTAGCAATTTGAGGACATGGTAATTTCTGTTAAACTGCAATAAGTCGACAATGCATGTTGAAATATCTATGGTAACTACTAAAAGAGTTTTTAAAACAGTAAAATTGTTGAGGGGAAAAGTGGAATAATCAAAAATAATTGGTTAATTTAAACAAATGCAAGAAAGGAGGGTTAAGGAAATCTAAAACTGGCAAGTGAAATAAAAAAAGATGATAGAAATAAATCTGAATATTTGAACAGTAGAATCATATATTTTTCAAAATTTTATTTGAAAAAACATACCTTATTTTTCCAGTCTAAAAAAGTAATGCAGGGTCCGGCCCAGTGGCATATCAGTTAAGTTCACGTGCTGTGCTTTGGCGGCCTAGGGTTCACCGGTTTAGATCCTGGGTGCGGACATACACACTGCTTATCCAGCCATGCTGTGGCAAGTGTCCCACAAATAAAAATAGAGGAAGATGGGCACAGATGTTCACTCAGGGCTAATCTTCCTCAAAAACAAAAAAAAAAGTAATGCATGTAAATAGGCAAAAATATGTAACACATACACATATACTTGTTTTGTTTTTCTGACAGCTTCTTTGTGATATTGGCCACAGTGAAGAAAAATTGGGTTTTAACTATGAGGATATCATAATTTGGTAAGTATAGTTCAGTTCCCTCCCTCATCCCTTCTGAATTTTAGTAATATCAATTATAGTAATTTTAAAATAAAAATAGGATAGTATAACACCTCATTTGATTTTTATAGAAATAGTGTAAACATTAGAAAAATTCAGCATCTCCAATACTTTAAATTGTTTTCCTGTTGTTCTTAATGATATTTTGTAATTATCAAATATAAAGAACCAAAGCTAATGTTGACAAATACATGGACTTCTACAATTTAAACTTCTAAATTAAATCTGAAATTCACAGAAGTTCTCATATTATTCTCAAGAACAAGAAGAACCTGTACAATTATCTCTAGATCTAACTTAAGACAAAATGTGCTTATGGCAAACTTGATGTGCTCAAGCCCACCAATAGAGGCATAATGTTATAGTTTCATAGCCATCTTTTTGGTATGCTTAGGAATTAAAATTGATATAAATGGTCTGTGCCTACTGTCATTAATAAATATTTTTATTAATTGGTTTAAACCAATGATTCTTTGAGAGGAGTGGAAGCAGGCGTGCAGAAAGACGGGAATAGATTGTAGGGCATATGTGATACAGCTTGAAAAAGACATTTAATCTTCCATTTTTTTATATAAAGTAGACTACAGAAGGTAGAACAAAACTTATTTTCTTGATTCGTAAGAATGTACCAAGGAGGCGCAGGTTAAAAAATACCAACGTGGGGCTGGCCCCATGGCCAAGTGGTTAAGGTCGCACGCTCCACTTCTGTGACCCAGGGTGTTGCCCGTTAGGATCCTGAGTGTGGACATGGCACCACTCATCAGGCCATGCTGAGGTGGCGTCCCACTTAACACAGCCAGAAGACCCCACAGCTAGAATATACAAGTATGTTCTGGGGGGCTTTGGGGAGAAGAAGAAAAGAAAAAGAAAACCCAACAAGATTGGCAACAGATGTTAACTCAGGTGCCAATCTTTGACAAAAAAATAATAACAACATGAGTGAAGTTCTGTGGCTTACGGTGAATGGTTTTTATATGTGTAAAATGACAGTAGTTTTGCTTATTTCAACTGAGGAAGAATTTGGTACCATAATTTTATGTGTATTTGAAACCCATGCAGCAAAACTTCCTTTTTGTTTGTTTTCATACAGTTTGCGGTTAGCTTTATTGAATGAAGCAAAAGAAGTGCGGGCAGCGGGGCTACGAGCTCTTCGATATCTCATTCAAGACTCCAGTATTCTGCAGAAGGTGCTAAAATTGAAAGTGGACTATTTAATAGCTAGGTAATTTTCCTAGAGCTGTGTATGTTTTTCAAATTAGGTATTAAGTTTTAGCATACCTACCATAAAGTGTAAAAACTTTTAGTGAAAAGCCTGATAATTTTTACAAATATATACAACCAAGTACCCTATCATGTCAATTAAGGTGTAGAACATTTTCAACATCCCAGTCAAGTTCCCTTTTGTCTTCAACCAGTAGTAAACATTATTGACTTTTCTCATCGCAGACTAGTTTTTTCTGTTCTTGAACCTCATATATTGGGGGTATACATAGTTAGTCTTTATTTCCTCAATATTATCTGTGAGATTTATCCATGTTGGTTTTTTAAAATTTCTGGGTAGTATTTCATGTTATGAATAGACCACAATTTGTTTATTCCATTCTGGGTGATGATATTCTGGATTGTTTTCAGTGTACTATTTTGAATAAAGCTTTCCTGAATATTCTTGTACAGGTCTGTTGGTGGACATATGTACTCATTTCTCTTAAGTACATATGTAGTAGTGGAATTGCTGAGTTAAAAGGTTTATGTATATTTAGCTTTAATAGATACTGCCAAACAGTTTTCCAAAGTGATTGTACTGATTTATACTCGTACCAGCAATGTTTGAGAGTTCCAGTGTCTCCACATCCTCATTAGCACTTGCTATTTTCAGTCTTTAATTATTGCCTTTTTCCTGTGGTTTTCATTGTGAGTTCTCATTGTGCTTTTAACTGACATTTCGCTGATGAGTAGTGATGTTAAGCACCTTTCATTTGCTTGTTAACTGTTTGGATATTCTCCTTGTTAGTGGCTCATTTGTAAATGGGATTGTCTGTCTGTCTTGTTGTGTAAGAGTTCTCAGTGTTTTCTGGTTATTATTCCTTTCAGGTATACATGTTGAAGATATCTTCTCCAAGTCAGTCTGCCTTGCCTTTTCATTCTTCTTCATTAATAAAATCCAATTTATAAGTCTTTTATTTTATAGTTAATGCTTTTGTTCTCTTTCAAAGATATTATCCTGTGTTTTCTTCCGAAGGTTTTTTTCCTTTATATGTTTAAGTACATGTCAGGTCATGATTCTTTTTTGTTTTTATGGATATCCAATAAGTATTAACAGCATTTATTGAAAAGGTTTGCCTTTCACATCTAGATTAGTGTCACTTGTTGTAAATCAGGTAACTGATAAGTAGGGATCTATTGTTGCATTCTCTGTTTTCTTTAGTTGGTTTGTTTGTCTGTTTTTGCCCCAGTTTCTCACTGTTTTAATGACTGCAGCTTGATAATAAGTGTTGATACCTGTTCATGTAAGTCCTCCAACTTTTCTTCTTCAAGACTCTTAGCTATTTTGGGTTCTGGATTTCCATATGAATTTTAGAATCAGTTTGTCCATTTTCATAAAACGTTCTGGGATTTAGTAGTAGTTACGTTGAAACTCTAAATTAATTTGGGATTTGTTGCCAGCTTAATATTGAATCTTTCAAGCCTTTATTTATTTGGAATTTTAATTTTTCTCAACAATATTTTTTAATTTTCTGTGCAGAGGTCTTGCGCATATTATGTTTATTCTAAGGTATTTTTAATGATAGTGTTAATGTAATTAAAATATTTTCTTTTCCATATTTTTTGCTATTAATATATAGAAAAATAACTTTTTGTAAATTAACCTTATCTAGTGATCTTGCTAATATATTCACTTTTCAATTCTAATTGTTTTTAAGATTATTTTAGAGTTTCTATTACATAAGCATTGATTGCAAATGATGGCTGTTTTATTTCTCCCTTTCCAATTCTTATAGCTTATTTTTCCTTGCCTCATTGCACTGGGTAGAATATTGCACTGCCTAGAAATGGTGATGCTGGACAACACTGTTTTGTTCCTGAACTCAGGTTGAAAGTCTTCAGTATTTCATCATTATTTATGATATTTGCTGTAGGCTTTTAGTGGATGTCTTTTTATTCCTTGTTTGCATGCCTGAAATAAACACCACTTGTTTGTGATGTCTTGTCCTTTTTGTATATAACTGAATTTGTTTTGCTGATATTTTGTGTAGGAGTTTTACAGCTATGTTCATAAGGGGTATTGGCCTATATTTTTCCATTCTTCTGGTGTCTTTGTTTGATTTTGCTATCAAGAGTGTGTTTGCTTTATAAAACAACCAGGAAAGTGTTGCCCTCTTTTTATATGCTCTGGAAGAATTTTTGTAAGATGCATATTGTTTTTTCCCTGCATGATTAGTAAAATTCACCAGTGAATCTGTCTGGGCCTGGGGTTTTCTTCTTTAGGAAGTTTTAAAATAATGGACTCAATTTCTTTAACATATAGTACTCCAGATTCTCTCCTCCTTCTTGTGTCATTTCTTGCTTTTATATATTTTGAAGCTTTGTTATTATATTCATATTTAGAATTGTTAAACCTTCACATTGAGTTAATCTTTTTACAGTTATGAAATGTCCCTCTTTATTCCTAGTAATACTTCTTTTATGAGTGTTCGTGTTATCTGATATTAATATATCTATACTAACTTTCTTTTACTTAGAGTTTGCATGGTATATCTTTTCCTATCCTTTACGCTATCTTTTTTGTTCTTACATGTAAGTTTCGTTCCTGTAAACATCATATATGTTGTTTTTCTTTTTAAATCTTGTTTAAGCATCCTTGTCTTCTAATTGGAATATTTAGACTATGTCTAGTGGTTTTTTTAAATGCATGGTCTGTGGGCTTTATCTAATGTAATTATTTATATGTATTTATGAGTGTCATTTTGCTATTAGTTTCCTCAAATTTGAGTTTGTTTGCTATCTTGCTATTTGGATTCTCTTAACATCTGTTCTTTGTTCTTGTGTTTTTTGGTTTTTTTTGAAATAATCAAGAATTTTTTTTCAACTTCTATTAACATCTTGGTTATAAAGTCTTTTCTTCTTTTAGCACTTGCCCTAGAGGTGACAATATGTGTCCTTGATATGTTAAGGTCTACCACTTTTATTGGAACCAGAACAATGCAGAAAACCTCTTAGAGTTTAACTATATCTTCTCCCCGCTACCTTTTGTGTTATTGTTTTATTTTTTATTTCTACATATATTTGTAACTCCGGAGGATAGTCCAGAGGATAGTCCAGAGAACAGTTATTGTTTTAAACTGTAACTGTTGGTACTTACCTACTTTATTTACCTGTTCCAGTATCCTTCCTCATCTTGGATCACTTTCTATCTGTTTGATGAATTTCCCTTATTGTTTTTTCTAGTTCAGGTCTACTGGAGATGAATTCTCTCATCATTTTATTTGTCTATAAATGCCTAAATTTTCCCTTCATATTTGAAGGCTATTTTTATGACCAGTTACCATTTTTCAATGCTTTAAATAAGTTATTGTTTTCTGGATTTTTTTTTTTTTTTAATTTTACTTGTTGAGTAATAAGTAGTCTCTCTTCTTGTTGCTTCTTTGTAAGTGATGTGGCTTTTTCTCCTCTGGCTACTTTAAAGATTTCTTATTTATATTCTCACCTTTTGTCTGTTACTGCAACTATACAATGTTGGATCTGTTCACTGTCCTCCATGTCTGTGATGTGCTCACTGTATTTTCAACCTTTATTGTTGTGAATCTTTGTGCTTCAATGTGGTTACTTTCTCCTGACCTTTTTCTTTTATTCCTCCATCCTGTTAGGAAATCAGTCTCTTGAAATTTTAATTTCAGTTATTGTATTTCTATGATTTATTTTACTCTTATTTAAAGATTCTAGATCTCTGCTTTATTTCTTCATCTTTCCTTCTATTTTCTTGAGCATATTAATCGTAGTTATTTATAACCCTCTTATGACAACTCCAATATGTGAATCACCTGTGTTCTGTTTCTATTCTCATTTTCTTTTCTTAGTTTTTGGTTACTTGGCTCTTTGTTTGTTTTAAAATATATATCATATTATTATCTCATTGGTTGTGAACATTGTATATTAAAAATTTTTGGCTCTGGATCATGTTATTTTCCTCTGAAGAGAGTTAAGCTTTATTCTGAAACATTAGCTTATCAAACTGATTCTCTTAAAGTCTGGTTTTAGCTTTGCCTTTGCTCTAGGAAGTGGCTATTTGGGATCTCAAGTAAAAGTGTAGATGTTTAGCAGAACCTCTTCACCTTGACCCACCTTGAGCCTTGATGTCTTTCTTTGAGTATTACTTACCTGCGGAAATTTCTGCTCAATTCTTTAGCTTCTTGGCCATAGCTTTTACACTGGTTTCTTGGATTTTAACTCTGCTTTTGCACAACATAGAAATTGGCAAGTGCCTTGGAGAGGAGATTGCATGCAGATTTGTGTTCACTTCCCTATGTTTTCTTCTTTCTGGGATTTTCCCCCTCAAGTCCCAGCCGTATTGGCTGCCCTAAAGTTCAATCTGTCTCTCCAGTCCAGCAAGACTTTTGTTTTCTGCTAGGACTCTTTTCCCCTAAAATTAGGGATTGACATGTGCCCCCAGGGACAAACCCTGATTGGATGTGGAGCTTGTGCTTCTCTTTCCAGGGATTATTATTCATTGTCCTTTTAACATTTGCTTTATAAAGTATTTTATTCAATCTTTGTGGTTGTTTTTGGTAGGAGGGTTGCCTCTATTGTGGCCAGAAATGGAATTCTGTGTCTGTTTACATTTTAATAAAATTGCTTTAGATTGATTGTATCCAGATAGAAGAAATCCTTTTTGGATAGCGAACTATGTCTAAAATATTGACTAGAATAGTGAACTGCCTAAACAAGTAAAAGTGAATGATTTTGCCATATAAATCAAAGACTCTTTAGAAACTGAGTAATTTAATAAATTTTGCTGAGAAATATCAGTTAAGTGATATTTGAACATTAACTTTTGAAGTGCATTGATTTCAAATTATGTTTTGGTAAAGTAGAATTATTGTGGCTAGTACATAAGACTTTTAACTTAGTCAAAATAACATTTAGGCCCTGGTTAAAATCGCAAACTAAAACATAGACTCAAAATATTTTCCCTTCACAATTTTTATAAATATCTGTGAATTTTATCAAAATAGGTGAATATTTTTTCAATAGATTTCTGATACTTTGCTCTATAAGTATGTTTATTATTTCTGTATAGACAAATATAATTCTGTAAATTATTTACCATATTTTTCTTTCCTGAGTTTTAAATGAAATTGTTTTGAAATGTTTTAGTATAACAAATATTTATTACTAGAGATATGTAAGTTAACTAAATAAATATCTGCTGGTACTAAAAAATCACATCTATTAAAATTTTAAAATACCATATTGACATTACAAAGATGGGTCTGATCTAGTGGTATTATTTTACAAAAAATGTTTACTGAGATTTTTATCAATAATTAAATATTTTGTGTATTATTTAGGTGCATTGACATACAGCAGAGCAACGAGGTAGAGAGGACACAAGCACTTCGATTAGTCAGAAAGGTACGCGCTACGTCTGAGAGTCAAGGCAGATTTATGGTTTTCATGTTAAGTATTGTACATTTTTAGATTTAGACTGTTTTGTGAAATCTTTCTATTAAAATTTAGTGGCTAAATTCTCATTAAACATTTTTACTTTGTTAAAATTACAGTGAATTAAGTAGATCTATTAAACTTTGAGATAAACTTAAATGTTTTGTGTAATTATTCTATGTGATTTTTATAAAATGATCATTGTAAAGATGTATTTCTTCCTTTAAATAGACATGTAAATGAAATTACTGCTCTGGTATGTTATTGGAGAAAGGATTACTTGCTCCTCACTGAATTGTTAATATAATTAAGAGAAGTTCGTACAATTAAATGGATGTCACAAATAGTTACAAGCTGGTTGTTTTGAAAATGAATTTGGATATAGTCCATAGGCAGTTGCAATAAACACTTTATGCCACTGTCTGGGATAAAAGGTCAAGAACTAAACTCTGCAAGAGAGGGTGTTAAGGATAATCCATAATGCTTCTAATGAGAGGCCCTCAAGGAATTTTTTATTGTTTAATGTAATGTGGTGCCCTAATGGTAGAGGTATTCCAGAGGAGTGAACTGAGAGTTAACTAGCTTAGGCCACAGCCCTTTAAGAATTTTATGTTTGATTCTAGAGTATTTGTGAAACTCATGCAGTATATGTTTGGTATGGTGTAAAAACATCTAAAATTATTTAACAATTAAATTTTTTAGCCCTTCTCCTCTTTCCCCACCTTTGAATTGAGTGCATGCTCTGGAATGGTGGAATGTTGAGTTTATACATTAGTTAGTATCCTCTTTTTCCTTTTCCTTCAAACTGCCTAGCTTGTGGTTAGTAATAGTACCCACAGGTGAGCATAGTAAGGAAGAAGTAAATGAATGAGTTGTCTTAAAAGAAGTTTGCTATTCTAGTAAAAGCAATATGGGAGATAAATTATGAAATTTTTGTTACAGGTAAACTGTTATGTTGGGGCAGTGATTTGACTCTTCAAATTTAAATTTAAAAAATATATTTGTAATTTTTACTTATTCATAGAGTTCTTCCTACTGCCATGATTTTGAGAATTCAAGATAAGAAAACAAAATTTGTTTCTCAAGAACCTAGAATAACTTTTTGGTTATTTGAATTATATATGTCAATATTTATAATACTAGGAATTTAAAGTGAGAAAATACATATTAACATATTAAATATAACAAACCCATTACATGGAAAAAATATGCATTTTATAGTAATAACTATATTTTCCAAAAAGGAAATTAGTAAGTCGTGAGGATTATTTTAGATTTTTGCAAATCTCTTTAATGTTTGTCTTGATAGAAGATAGTTGGATTGTCATGTTTGCTTCTGCATTCAGTTTGTTGTGATTCGTATGCAGTGGAGCCTCTGGAAAACTTCAGTATATACTTGCAAGAGAACAAGAGTAAAGAAGACAAATAGGGGCTGGCCCAGTGGTGTAGTGGTTAAGTTTGTGCACTCCTCTTTGGCGGCCTGGGGTTTGCTGGTTCAGATCCTGAGCGCAGATCTACATACCATTCATAAAGCCATGCTGTGGTAGTATCCCACATGGAGGAACTAGAAGGACTTACAACTGGGATGTACAGCTATTATATTGGGACTTAGGGGAGGGAAAAAAAGAGGAAGATTGGCAACAGATGTTCGCTCAGGGCCAATCTTCCTCACCAAAAAAGCAAAGGTAAAAAAGACAAATAATGCCTTTGTATTATTATGAAGATCATTTTAACTTTGTAGAATCCCTGAAAATATCCTAAAGACCCTCAGTTTCTTGTACCATACTTTGAGAATTGCTGTGCTAGAAATTGCATTCAGAAGAAAACGTAACTCCAAATGGATTCAAACTATTAAATTCAGCTTCTTTGAATTATTTACTAAATATTTGATTTCAATTTTATAAAATGTTTTATACAAGTAACAATTTAACTTACAAAATAACCTAGTAAACAGACCCTTAAAACAATTTAGTAACACCGTAACAAAAATATTATTTTATTTTGTCGTCTTCTGAAATAGGGAATAATTTGAGGCAGTCATTTGTGAATCCAAGAGCAGGAAAATTGCTTGTACCTGGTGCTAGGATATGGGCTCAGAGGAGGAGTTGTGGTGCAGGGTTCCTCCTTCATTTAGCTATAAGCAGTTAGAGTTAAAGGGAAAGCACACTTGCTGAATAAACAGTGGCCTCTATCGACCAGAGGAACTAAAATTTTATTAGTACTTTTAACAACCGAAGTGCATGTTTCTTTTTTCCAACAACGTCTTGGCAATTGACCTAGTAGAAATTAGTATAAATATTATAATTGCTGTGTCACTGTGGGAGTTTTGTATGCATTCAAAAATGTTTTAAAATTTTCTATAATAGTATTAATCTTTTATGTTTTAAAAGAAAAACAAAAATGTTTGTTGCTTTAGGATAACCCACTCTGTAATTAAGGAATACTCATGTTACTTTTTTTTCTCTTTCACGTAACTCATTCATTTGGAAGATTTTGTTTGTTTGTTTGCTTGTTTCTTTTTCAGTGTCTCTCTGTTTTTTTTTTTTTTTCCTCTCTCTCCAATCCAGGCAATCTTTCCTGGTTTTTTGTCTGTCTCATTTTCTATGTAATTTTCCCACTGCTCAGTGTTGCTACTCTTTATCCCATTTAAATTCTTTTTACTACCTGCCTAATTTAAGCTATCATTTTCTGTGTATGTCATTTCTTTATGCATGTAATAAGAGACTAATATGTCACAGAGTTTTTATAGTTGAAAGGGATTCACTTAGGGGAATTACTTGCCCTTGATACACAACAAGACGTTGGCAAAGCGAGAGCAAGAATCTAGTTCTCCAAATTTCCAAACCTACATGGGCCCACGAGTCCTTTTGGTATTAAGCACGACCTGCTTACTTTGGCATTGAGAGCCCACTTTTGGTCCAGCCAGTTAAGACCTGTCTCATATGCATGTAGACAAGCTGCCCTCCACTACTACTACGATCACTACTTCTTTCCCACTCCTTTCATTTCCACCCCTTTCTATATTGCATTGACCTTGCATTCTCAGCTCAAATTGCAGATAGTCTCTTTAGAGAACTCAGTGTTCCTCTAATTTCTTTATAGCAGTTCTGCAAATTTATTATCTACTTGTAATCTTTGATTTGTTCTATATATGCTTTTCCTCTCATGCCCAAAAAAAGATGATTAAACTTTTATATCCATTGAGACTAAATTCTATGACTTTTCCCTTATTGAGTACTCATTGATTTATGAAAGAAGCATTCTCTGATTTACACAGAATTTAAGAATTTCTTTGCATATATTTCCCTGGAAAATAAAAAGATTAATTTCCTTTGTAAAAATTTAAATTACAAGGTGTTCTTTCCGTAGCACTGTACTTGCAATTCATAGAGTAGAATTTTATACTTTAAATTCTAGAAATCGTCTGGTCATACACATTCTCCTTTTACAAATGAGGAAACTAAGGCATGGACAGAATTGATTTGGCCAAACTAGTAGTTTATTAAAGGCAGATTTAGCTCTGAAAGCCAATTGGCCTGGCTTCCTAGAAAAGAAAAAAATTTTTTTTTGACATATATTGCGTACATTTTACTGTTTGGGAAATTTTTTAATAAACTCTTTATAAGCATAATAATAAACCAGTAAGTATTAAAATCGTAAGTTAGAATTTTCTTACCCAAGAAGATCAGTTTCCTGTACTTCTTTCCCCTTTCCTCTCTTCCTTCCTTCTCCAGCATTTTTGGTTTACTAAACAAATGGGAAAGCTTTTGTAGATTCTGTAGTGATTGGAAATCTCTTTATTTTATGGTTGTGGAACAGCATTCTGTCCTTTCAGTTGAACTTTGTAATATTGCATGCTACTTAAACAACATAAACCATTTACAACTACTCTGGCAAGTACAGAGCTTTCCTTTGAACTTTGTAGGACTTGACTGGATATCTTAATTTAGCTACAATACATCCTCTAATTGTTTCATAGCACAAGTCTTATTTTTCAACAGGATTATAAATCCAGTAACATCCAGTACTGATTAATTATCTCCAGTATTTTATCACCACCCAAACAGAAGAAAATGTTTTCTTCTGTTCCCACTCAGGGACCTGTTATTTTGAAATACTTCGTCTACCAAATAGTCTTTATTTATTAAACAGTAATTAACTACATAATTTATTTCTATTTGATTTTCAAACTGAAGATGTTTATTTTCATTATTCTGAATGTCTTATTGCCAATTAAGCTTTTCATTTAAAGTGAGATTTATCCAAAGTTTTATCACCAGATACATACTATTTCCACCACGATTGTTGAAATTTAAAATAGATTATGGATTATTAACTTTGCCTTTCGGTATAGCAACAAGTGATAGTTAGAGATAGGGAGATTATTAGGCATCTATTGCAGCAGTCCAAGTGAGAAAGAATGAGGGCCCAAATCAGTGAGTTTGATGGGAGAGAGAGTAGGGATGTTGAGGTAATTTGGTAGGAGTTGGTGCTGACTGTATATGGGGAAGGAGTCAGGAATGTAATAGTATAGTCGTATGAGTATCTTGACAGCTGTTGTCATCACTGATTTACTTTGTCTAGGTACTGAAAAGTTGTTTAAAATATAGTTCCTGTTCTGGAAGAGGTTAGTCTCAGAAACATTTCATCTTTTTGGTCAACTAATTTATGGTCTGGACTATTAGGGGAAAAAAGCCAACACATTTTTCCATAGCAGTGATAATTAACATTTATTGCATCAATTGCAGTATTAATCCTTTGAACTGTTTATATGAAGCAGGAGATTAAAATTGATACTTTGATCTTAGAAGTATTCTGTGGTCTTAAAACATCTGTCTGAACAAAATAAATTTTAAAAATATATTATGAAGTAAGTAACTTCTTTTTCTGATTCCTCTCTGTTACAGATGATTACTGTGAATGCTTCCTTGTTTCCTAGCTCTGTGGCCAACTCATTAATAGCAGTTGGAAATGATGGACTTCAAGAAAGAGACAGAATGGTTCGAGCATGCATTGCCATTATCTGTGAACTAGGTAAGAATTTTATTCATGTAATAAAAATGTATTTTAAAGAAAGTATATAACATTTCTTAATGCCTTTAATAAATGAATTCTTTACTTATTGGTACAAAGATATGAAAAAGTAGGACATTTTTGATAGGGAAGTAGAGGACTTGGTACTTAACAAATAATTTCAAAGTGACATTAAAATTCTATAAATTTTAAAGTTTTACTTATCATGAAATTTAGTGTATAGGAATTGTCCAAATTCCAGTAATTAGAATAAAATGTCTTAAAGTCTGCTTCTCTCAGATGTTAGTTAACCATGCTATGCTATCTTGAAGTGGGTTAACAAATAACCCACCATATGTAAAAAAAGAATTCTAAATGCAAAAGGATTAAAGAGTTAAATGGAGAAAAAATGGGGAAAAAAATTTATCTGATCATTGTAAGGAAGAGGAGTTTTGAATTATCAAAAGAAATCAGAGATTTTAGCAGCTATAGATTTTATTATAAAGAGACGAGAAAACATATAGTACCAGAAAAAACAAAGGAAAAATAAATGTAGCAAATATGATAGGTAAATAACTTATTTATAAGTTCAATAGAAAAAAATAAATAATTCTCAAGGAAATCACACGGTTAATCAACATATTTAAAAAGTTCAACCTCACCGACTTCACTTATAACCAAAGAAGTATAATTTCAAATGACAAGAGAAGATGATATTTTTTCCCATCAAAGGTAGAAATGGTGTAGCTTATATTTACTCTTGATATAATAAGTAAATTAATACCAAATTTTAAGCTAAAGAAACAAAAGAGGCAAACCCTACCACTGCGGATTTAAAAATACTGTCCACAATACCTGTTGATTTAGAGACAAAGTCAGAAACTTGATTAAGGGTATTTTGAAAATAATACAAATTTGACTACATGTCAATGTATGGGATGCCTGGAAAGCTATAATCAGAGTTTACTTATCATAAAATTCTTTTATAATTATGCAAAAAGTAATGAAAATAAGTGAGTGAACCTAAGAAATAGAAAAAGAAGAAAAAAAATTAATTTTAAGGTAGGCAGGAGGAAAGTAACAATGAAATTAAGAGTCTTAGAGAACAAGATAGATTATTTAATCTAACCTATGTCAATTGGAAGAAGAAAAACATGATACACAGTTTTGCAAACATACACTCATGTTTGAAAACACAAAAGTCAGAGAACCAAGATTAATATAAAAATGAGGAAGAGAACATAATAGTTTTTAAAATTGAGATGTTTTATATATATTTGAAAATCTTACTGAAATAAATGAGTTTTCAGAGAAAATTTTAATTCCCATTTGACTCAAAAAGTAGAAAACATGATGATAGATCAAAAACCGTTGGAGTACGTGATGAAATAATTGCCTCCAGAAAGACTCATCCAGGTAGTTTTTGTCTTAAAAAAAAATTGTTTCAAAGAAGAGAGAATTCTTATGTAATGTAATTTGATTGAGAATGTTAAAAATGTGGAAACCTATCTTTTTTTATGGAACTACCATTTTATATATATATACACACACATATCTATACACATATATATAATAAAATAATTAGAAGGCTACTTTGTTACTCTAGAATATTTATCTCAAATCAACACTCTGTATTATTCCTAATGGTAGATCTCTACAAAAACTACATCCTTTTAACTCTTGATTAGCATTGTTTTAAAACTTTTAGCGAGGTTAGTAAGACGGAATAATAAATGAAGTTTACATATAGGAAAGAAGACACCATTACTTTTAGATGGTATATCTAGAAAACTCTGAATCATCTGAAAAACAGAACTTAAGTTTAATTCAGTACAGTGGAAACAAATAAAAATACAGATTTGTTAGATTTATTTTGTGTTTCAGCAGTAATCAGTAGATATAATAGAAAAAAATGATACTATTTCTAAAGTAGAAAAGAAAACTATATACAGCAAATAAACTTAATAAGAAACCTGTGTGACTTGTGTGTGTGTTTCAGTGATAGTTTTGACTTTTGAATTTATCCAGTTGATTCTCAAGAAGGCACAAGTAATCTGTACGGGTAGAAATGAGAACATTGGTTGCCTGTGTAGTAGAGGGGCACTGATTGAAAAATGATGTGAGGGAACTTTCTACGGCAGTGAAAGTGCTATACCTTGATTGGGGTATTGGTTATAAGAGTATAGACAGTGTTCAAAATTTATTGAGCTATACTATTAAGATGTGCGTTTTACTGTATATAATTATACCTCAATTTAGAAAAAATAGAAGAAGAAACCTAATTCTAGAATTCAGCTAGAATAAACAGGAGAGATCCAACCATGAAAACACTTTTGAAAAAGAATAAATGGAAGGGAAAGGAAGGATTTTTTTCTCATATATTGAAAAAAAATTATTAATCTAGGTTATTAAGAGGTAGAAAAATGAAAAAGAATTAAGAGTTACAGACCCTGATGGATAAAAACTTTTAGTATATCAAAAGTAGAAAAATTACTTTGGGAAACATGTTGGGATGATTGATTACACATTTGAAAAAAATTGAATTTATCATATTAAGCCAAACTCAGTTTCCTGACAGATTAAAAACTGAAATGTTAATCATGAACTCATTTAAAATATACATATATATGTGTGTGCACATACAAAGAAAATGCCTCGTCTTTGAAGTAAGGAGTTTCTGAGCTTAAAATAAAATCTAAAGTTAAGTCACAAATTAGATAAAAGATTTGAAACAGATAAAGGGCTAATAATTCCACTATATAAAGAACTCTTTGCAATTGAAAGAAGAACCATTTCAGTAAAATATGGACAAAGGATATGAATAAACAATTCAGAGACATAAAAAAAGTCAGGGTTTGGAAAGTATATTCAGCGACTCTTATTAGATATATTTTATTCATGTGCTCTTTTAAATGTCGTTGACTAGAAAGTTTTTCAAGTCAGAAAGGAAGTTAAGTTTTAAAATAAAATCCCAAATTTCTGATTACTTTTTATTAATTATACCCTATATAATATATTAAGCTTTTCTTTTTTATTTTAGCACTTCAGAATCCAGAGGTGGTGGCCCTTCGAGGTGGACTAAACACCATCTTGAAAAATGTGATCGATTGCCAACTAAGTCGAATAAATGAGGCCCTCATTACTACAATTTTGCACCTCCTCAATCATCCAAAGACCCGACAATATGTGCGAGCTGATGTAGAATTAGAGGTAGAAAATTTAATATTATTTTCTAATTTTAAAATATGACTTTAAGAATGTACTCTTACTTTGAATTTTAAAGTTAATAGAAGTAGCGTTAATTATCAAACCTAAATTAACTAAGACTGGCTTATTCCTAGCAATATTTTATAGCTCATTCAATTTGGACTGACTTGAAAATATTTTTTCTCAAGAATTTCTCATCAGTGTGTCGAGTGAAGGTTATTTTTTTTTTTTGTTATCTATGAAAACTTTACTAGGCAAATTAGAGCACAAGTAAGGTTACGTGGACACTTACTTATTTTATTTAAGAAGACTATTTCTTTTTAAGGACTTTAGTACATTAGTTGTGTGTGAATAGCTCCTGGTAATCATATACTATTTATTTATTCAACCGTGCTAAAATTCTCTGAACTTGGAAACATTTGTTAGCAACTAATGACCAAATATACTTGAAAGAATTAGAATATATATTTTTCTTTTTTTATATATATCTTTCTTGTTAATGTACAGCACATTAGCAAAGCCTTTATATGAATGAAAAACCTCAAAGAACATGAAAGACATTTACGTACACTACTATCTTTGCTTATATCTTTTTTTTTTTAAATCACAAATGTTAGTTCTTTTTTTCCTTAAAATGATCCACCTGGAATAGCATAGTGATTGAGAGCATAGACTTTGGGCTATACAGGTCTGGTTTTGATTGTTTTGCTCTATAACCTACTAGCTTTATGACTTTGGGCAAATTATTAGCCTCTCTTGGATCCATGTTTTCCTAAGTACAATAAAATGAAGGTCATGATTTTTACCTTAAATTACTGTGAAGAATACAAACTAAAGTAATAGTAGTAGTACCAGCAGCTAACATTCAGGGAAAGCTTCTAATGAGTTGGGCAGTATTTCCAGGTGCTTTACATATATTATTCCTAATCTATGTAAAATTAGTACCTGGCACATAATAAATATTCCACAAATACTAGTTGTCTTGGATGTTAGTCATTATCATCATCTTATACTTATCATCATCCTCCTCATCATAGAGTCTGCTAAGAAAAAACTGTCCTCATTTTTATTATATTTTATCAATTTTCATTCTAAATTGATACTTCTTGATTTTCTTTTCTACATATGAAGAAACTGTTTTCAGTGCTACTGCCTCTGTTGTAAGGCCTAAATCTTTCTCCTGTTAAAAATCCCTTTTTCAATTTACCTTGGCTTCTATTTCTACTGTATGTGATATGTTTTGACCTAAGACAGAAAAAAGTATGGATTAATATAATGTCATTAGAATAGACAGTCTGTAAGGATTGTAAGTTAATTGTAATTTTTTATAGTAAATTTTAAAAACAACATTTTTTAAACTTATACTTCAGAGGAGAATAGGGTAATTCATAGCATCTGCTGTGGAAAACTAGAAAAGCTGAATAATTGTGGAAATCACATACTTAAAGCAATATAGAGCTGTGAAAGCAATAAGGACCGGAGGGAGTGAAATTCTAGAGAAGGAAGATTCTTTGAGAGTTGCCCTGAAGATTTCCAGATGTCCTTGGTGGCACTTGCAGATTTGGGGTACAGGCTGGAGGCTACAAATATAACCTAGGCCTAGGTTGAAGACAAGAGTATTTGGCAGTCATACGGGTATGGAGAGACAAGCCTAGAGATGTGAAAAGGCCCCAGACCAAGTGTGGTTTACCCCTCCCGACATTTGCTGAAATAAGAATCTATGCAGAAGCTACAATGTCAGAGTCTGAGGAAAGCACAGTGGAATATACTGCAGCCTCCACTGCACGGGACGCAAAGGCCTCCTAAGAGGAGGGGCCCGGGCAAAAGTTGAAAGGCCTCTAAGTAGTAGTGAATTTACAGTGATTTAAAGTGAGCAAGGTTGTGAATATAAAGACAATACACAAAGATAACTTGGATTTCTTTATACTAGCAACAAAAGGAGAATGTAATTTATAAAATAAACTGTTTAAATAATGTTCAAAAATAGACAAAACTAAGTCATAGTGTTAGAAGTTAGAATAGTACTCTTGTTAGTGCCTGAGTACAAAGGGGGAATAAGGAGGCTTTGAGGATGTGGTGTTTTCTTCATCTGGTACTGATTTCAGGAGTGTGCTTAGTTTGAGAAAATTGATCAAACCGTACATTCATGATTTGTGTCTTGTTATACCTCAATTTAAAAGTTCAAAAATTCACTTTGTACATTAAAAAAATCACTCAAATATATTCCATGATGATGAGTTTGAAGAAATAAGTGTTTCAAACAGTATACCGAATTAAAGATAAAGAGAAAGAGAAGTGGAATTAACTTTAGCTTGTTACAGGAAGAATGTATTTCATAATAAGGAGCTTTTTTTTTAATCTTCTTTTTCTGCTTTTTTCTTTAATTAGCGAATTTTAGCACCCTATACTGATTTTCACTACAGACATAGTCCAGATACAGCTGAAGGACAGCTCAAGTAAGTACTGTTTGTTCCTAGTAATTTATAAGGTGGTGTGTGTGTTGCTATTAAAACTTTGAGATTTGTCTGATTGCATGTAGAGCCAGAAAAATGTGAGTTTAAGTAAATTTCTTTTTTCATGTAGTTAGGTTGTAGTTCTCTTGTAATATAATTAACTGTGGTTTAAAAAATTAAAAGTAAGCTTTGGAAAATTTAAAGACTTGGAATTAATTTCTTATTTTAAAAAATGTAAGGTAGGCTGCAGTAGAAACCTAGATCTTTAATTGTTTTTCTGTTGTAAGTATTGTTAGCATAGTTACATTGAGAGACTAAAAGAATGAAGTAACACAGAAAATAGAAGGAAGAGCTGCCTTAACAAATTAAGCAAAAAGACATAGTATATAGAATTTTGAGAGTAAAGTTAACAGGGAAGTAAAAGGAGATAAACATTATTTTCTAGAAATGAGGCTGAATAATTTTCAAAGTCTTTTCGGAGAGAAAAGCACTTGTTCACTAGGTATTCTGGGATAACTTTATAATTAAATTGATTCAGGGATCAAATAATGTACTATCTGAAAACTTTGCAAGTGATGCAATTCCAATAAATATGCTGTGAGGTGTTTTTCTAGTAGAATTGTTGAATTTCAGACATACTTATTTTCATATATAGTATGTATATAAAATTCCTCACTAAGTTTTGGAACATTGTGAAATGGGGATATTTTTGTTAGTTTTCATTTTTCTCCTGAATTAAAAGTGGTGGTTTCATATCTTTAATTACCTCCATCACTGGCCTTATCACACCCTAAGATATCATGACGTGAGCTAAGAAATCAAAATAGATATCCTCTGTTTAAGACTTCTCAAACCTTATTTCTGCTAAGTTATGAATTGGGATTCTTAACCGCATTCTTGGCTTCTTCTTAGAATATTTGGACATCCTCTTTATTGATGGAGCGTGTATACGTTTTCTGTAGCTGCATGACAAATTACTACAAATGTAGCAGCTTAAAATGACATCAATTTGTTAGCTCACAGTTCAGTAGCTCGGAAGTCTGGCACTGCTCTTACCTGAAGGTTCTGATGAAAAATCCATTTCCAAGCTCATTCAGCTTTTTGGCAGAATTCATGTCTTTGCTGTTGTACAACTGAGCTCCCTGTTTCCTTACTGACTGTCAGCTGGTGCCTACTCTCAGTTTCTAGAGGCTACCCTCTTTCCTTGGCACATGGCTCCCTTCATCTTCAAACAGCAAGAATGCCTCAAATCCTTGTGCTTTGAATCTCCCTCACTTCCTCTTCTGCCACCAGTTAGAGAAAGCTTCCAGTTAGGTCAAGCCTACCGGATGAGCTTCCTGTCTTAATGTCTGCTGCTATGTAACATAAACATAATCACAATCATGGCAGTGATATCACACAGGACCCAGGGATTATGGCATGGAATCTTGAGGGGATAGGGGGCATTTTTAGAATTCCACCTAATAGGATAAGCAAGAAATGAGCATGGATATTTTTTAGAGTTGAGGGGAAAAATGAACATTCCACCAAAATCCTTTCTTTCTTACTTGGTTCTGTACTTTACTTTCATTAAGTTTCTGGAGTATGGGCAGTTTCGAGAGTATGGGTACATTATGGCCAGGGAATAAGGAAATGAGTGATTTTTTAAAATATTAAAAATTTACCAAATATTTTAGAGAGTAGATAACCAGACAATCAATATAAATGTCACTAACATTTTTAAGAGAAGGAGCACCAAAAGTTTAACCACACAGATGTCCGATTCTCATTTCTTCCACCATTCCACATCCCCATTTTAGTTTCTGTTGTATTCTCATTCTGATTGGTGCTACAGAGCTTAATGTGGTTTGTTTTGTGTGTGTATGTTTTTAAGTGTTTCATTTCTTCTTTGTAGACCATCTTATTGTTCACTGTTCTTTAATTTGATTTTCTGTCATTGTTCTTTATGCCTTCTGTTTTTTCTTTCCCAGTTCTCTGGATTTCTGTATTCTCACAACTGTTAAGAACTTTATTAGGGAAGAAAAAAATGGATAGTCAACAGGGTAGAGATGGTTGAGGTGGCATAAATAAAGAATACAAGATTGCTGTTAAGTATTGAAATTGGCCATAAGCCATACATGGAAAATGTTTAACAAATATAAATAGTTTTATTAGTTTATTTTCATAAACTATTGCATAGAAAGGGACAAGTGAGACTATTAGATACACAGTTATGAAAGAAGAAAGTAGCTGCTGATATTCTAATAATATCTAGTTATTTAATAACTTCTCTGAATATATGGGCTGTTGAGCTTGCTTGTTAGAAATGCTCAAATAAGTTTGGGGCAAGAATTTCAAAGTAAAGAGGAGACATGTGGTAAAAGAAAGAGGTTTATGTGGTAATTTTTTTTGCTAAGGGGCAGCCTTGCAACAAAGATGCTAATTAAGCAGGCTGGTGTTGGTCTCTAATGCTCAATTAAAGGTGTTAATGAGCTGTCTAAGAATAGTTTTCAGAAAGAGCAGGAAATGTAGAACTGAACAGAAAAGTAGAATTTATAACTTATTTTAAGCCATATTGTGAATTTTAAATTGAGGGTGGAGTCAGTATATAATTGAGTAATTTGCTTTGAGGTAGATTTGATCTTTGTTTTTTTTAACATGTCATCTTATTTCCTGTAAATGTTTAAACATTAACTAATGATAGCTGTCATCAGAATACAGTAGCACGAAAAACCCACTTTTTATTTTAACATTTTATTTCTTTGATGCCCCCTCTTTGGCCCCTCCCTCCCCCAACAGAGAAGACAGAGAAGCGAGATTTCTAGCCAGTAAAATGGGAATCATAGCAACATTCCGGTCCTGGGCAGGTAAGTTACTGTGTGATGCTTTATAAGATCCAATAAGAAAAACTTGACCATTTTTTCAAATGTTAAATTATTATTGCGACATCTAATTTAGACGTTAACCTAGTCTTATTTTATATGTTATTCCGAGCCAAAGGGATTTGTACAAAATTATTTAAATTGACTATTTGTAAATCAATGTGCTAATGATTCCCCGGGCAATTAAAAAAAATTAAACGTGATCTATACCAAAAAAATTTTAGGAGTGTTAGCTGTATATGTAACTGAAGTTTGTTACCTAAATGTACAATGTAGAATGTCATAAATACCAAATAAGCAAGATAGGCCATTAGTAGTCCCAAATTTCTTGAGAAGAGAGACTCTGCATGTTCGTATCTTTCCATGGAATGAAAAGCAAAGATTTTCCTCAAAATAATACCACCACTAAATGTGTTATTTTATATTAATGATTACCTTCTTCCTTCTTGAGTTTGTAAAGCAATTTAAAGGATAGCTTATGAAGGAGTATAGCAGTAAACAGAACAAGAAAAATCACCTGAACATTTCTGGGTACATAGGTAACCTAACAGCGTTTCCATACAAATGACTATCCCAGCCATACAGTTGGCCGCTAGCCAGTAGATTTTCAGGAACTTCCTCTAGACTCTCAACACTTTGGTGAAAAAACTCCAGCCTTGCTCTGTCTCATGACTGCCTATTTCCCCTTACCCTCGTGGACAGCCTAGGATTCTATGAGAGCCCAGCCATCACACATCCTTTTTCATGCTCAACCAGCTTTCACCACATTCTGTCAGTAGAGAAACTAACACAGTTCTCCTGCAAAGCTTAACCATCACTGCACTTACCTCAAAACTCACTGTAACTTTGTGTTCTGTAGTTATAATCATCATCCTTTCTCATCCTTCAGCTTCCTTGCCATTAGAGCAGTTCCTATCTTACGAAAAAATGAATTTTATTCTGCTCTAAGCACCAGTACAGCTTAGCTACTATCTGCTCATTCTCCCTACTTCCAGACTCTACTCTCCCTATCAGTGTCTCTCTCATCTCTGTCTCTCTCCTTGCTTCTCTTAAACTTCTTTCTACTGTGCTTCAGTTTGTCTTGGGGTCCTTATACACTGATCCATCATTAGAAACTTAGAAGGTTGGAAATCTTTCACTCTCCCATTTAAGTAAGAAGAGAAATATGGCATTACAAGTTAGAACTTTGAACACGTTTTTTTCACAAAAATAATTTCCTAAATAGTTTTTATATTCTTTGGTACTATTTATGAGTTAAATAAGCTTTTGTATATTTGTAATATTATTTCTATGATACTATATATTTCAAAACCCAAATAACTGATTGACAAATGAACTTTTAAAACATGGTTTCCTCATGAGTTACAGTAGCCTGTTTTCCCTTTTAGTGCAGATATGATCTGTAAAGACTATCTTAGTCTATTTAATCTCTCATATTACTATCAAACATCAAAGTTTGAGAAATACCATTTTGATGATTTAAGCAAGTAAGTCTGCCTTTTGTGTTTTAATTTGAATTTTGAACTTCAGTTCAAAGAGAAAATATAGATTATTCATAAATATATGTGCTTAGTTAGCTAGAAGTAACAGGGAACTTTAGAGTCCTGTATGACTTTTTAAAAATGTTTTTCTCAACATTTTATTATCAAAAATTTCAAACATACAGAAAAATTATACAGTGAACACCCATGTACTTCCATCAACTAGACTTTGCTCTATTTGCTTTATTAAATGTCTTTCCATCAGCCCATCCCTCTGTGAATTCATCAGTCCTCTTATGTTATTCTCTTGCATTTCAAAGGAAGTTGCAGAATTCAGTACTCTTGATTTCTGAACACTTCAGCATGCACGCTATTACTGAGAATTTAGTATTTGTTTATGGCTCTGATTTGGTTATTTTTGTTTTTTGGGGGTTTTTTTTAGGTAAAATTAACCCCTTTCAATGAAATGCACAAATCTTGAGTCTACCATTTAATGAGTTTTGACAAATGCTTACACCTGTGTATCCAAACCCTTTTTATGATATAGAACAGTACTATCATTCCAGAAAGTTCTCTCATGCTCCTTCCTATTTAACCCCTGACCCCTACTACCCTAAGAAGCAACCAGTGTTCTGTTTATTGTCATCATAGATCAGTTTTGCTTGTTCATCTAAGTGAGATCCTAGCCTATGTAAGGCTTTTTTTCACCCAACATAATGATTTTGAGATTCGTTCATGTTGTATATATCTATAATATGTTCCTTCTTATTGCTGAGTCGTATTCCTTTGGGTGAATATACCACAGTGTTTTTAGCCCTCCTCTTGTTAGTGAACCTCTGACCTGTTTGCAGTTTTGACTACTGTAAGTAAAGCTACTATGAGCAGTCTTCTACAAGTCTTTTTTTTGCAGATATGAGCTTTCATTTCTCTTGAGTAAATACCCAAATGGAATTCCTGGGTAACAGGATGGATGTATGTTTAGTTTTATAAGAAACAGCCAGACTTTTTCTCCAAATACTTAGACTGTTTTATTCTCCCATCATCAGTGTATGTGAGTTTCAGTTGCTCTGCATCCTTGTCAGCATTTGGTGTTGTCAGTCTTTAATTTTAGCCATTCTGGTGGGTCTGTAGTGGTATCTCATTGTGAATGTAATTTGCATCTCCCTGATTACTAATGATATTGAACACTTCGTATGAGTTTATTAGCTATTCACATATTTTATTTTGTGACATGATATTAGTATGTTTAAAATTGTTTGACTCAATTATCTCACTTAAAATTTTGATCCACACAATTTATTTGAATTCTCTATTATACTCTTCTGTGCACTCCCCGTATTTTAGAATTAAACTTTTAAAAGACGAATATCAAGCAGTTTTTGGCTTTCAGTTGAGGAGGCATTAAATAAGGGAGACAGACTTGTTGTCTTACCCTCTCCAGTATTGTTAGTCCCTGAGAATCAGTCATCAGCAGATGGGAGTAGTAGGCAGTCAGATTCATGAACCTTTTTGGGTATGAAACAAATAGAAGGAATTTAAATGATAAAATTATTGATAGTCTCTAATCAGTAGAGAAATTCAGAGAATGTTTGAAATATATTATCTCTTATGATAACCAAACAATATAATATTATAATTTTGCTTGGAAAAATATCGCAGATTTTGTATTATGGATATATTACATACAGAAATTTTTTTGAGGGACTTGCCCAGTGGCGTAGTGGTTAAGTTTGCGTGCTCTGCTTCAGCGGCCTGGGGTTCACAGTTTTGGATCCCAGGCACAGACCTGCACACCACTGTCCATCAAGCCATGCTATGGTGGCATCCCACATACAAAATAGGGGAAGATTGCCACAGACGTTAGCTCAGCAACAATCTTCCTCAAGCAAAAAGGAAAGTTGGCAGTAGATGTTAGCTCAGGGCCAATCTTCCTCACAAAAATAAATATATAAATAAATAGAAATTCTTTTGAAATCTAAGTCAGAGATTTCTTTTTCTTTTTATCCTCTTTAGGTATTATTAATTTATGTAAACCTGGAAACTCTGGGATCCAGTCTCTAATTGGAGTACTTTGCATACCAAATATGGAAATAAGGGTAAGTAAAAGTTATTGTAATTGTTTTATTCTTTGACTTTTAACAGAGAAAATGAATTGTAAAAAAAGTTATTTCAGATGATGCCTTTTCCTCATAAATTGTTAATCTGTTGCATAGAGCATTTTAAAAATACATAAACATTTACTACCTAATTGAATACTAAGGGTAACATGAATCCTTTGAAATCCTGCTATTGTTAGGAACTATGACTTTATTAAAAATATGAAATTAATTATACTTTATGCATTAAAACATGCAAACAATACAGAAGGGCATTCTCGTTGTAAAAGACTGAAGCAATATAGCAACATATTTACGAAGGAGTACGTGTAGTATTATGCATTCTAACTTGAGCTTTTATAATATGTTCTGAGTAGTGGTTTTGATTAAAATTGGGTTGTTAATATTTATTCACTTATTTATTAGATGTAGTCCTAACTTCTTAGTGCCTAGGAATTTGTATTGAACAGCTAAAATAAATTGAAATTGTAGGGGGAAAAAATTAACTCTTCAAGTGATTCTTCCTTTTCCCTTTAAATGTTTTTGTTTGTTTTAATTTTGTTCAAAGGAATAAAATTTGCTGCTTTCTTATTTCTTCTTTATATGAACCAAGCCTAGAGTTGAAAAATAGTATTAGAAAATATTAGCCAGGAGTGCCTCACTTAAAATGTGAACTAAGCATTTAGACCTTGGAAATGAAAGGGTGTGATTATAGTTGGAAAGATCTACGGCCTATGAGCAGGGAACTAAATGTTAGGGCAATGGTGAAAGAACATAGTCTTTGGAGTCTGGCTGACTGAGGTTTGACTCCTGGTTTTCTTACAGTTGTGTGTCACTCAGCGACAGGGATGTGTTCTAAGAAATGTGTCATTAGGTGATTTCATTGTCGTGTGATCGTCATAGAGTATACTTACACAAACCTGGATGGTATAGCCTGCTACACACCTAGGCTATGTGTATTGCTTGTTGCTCCTAGGCTACAAACCTGTACATTATGTTACTGTACTGAATAATGTAAGCAATTGTAACACAATGGTAAGTATTTTTGTATCTGTATGTATCTAAACATAGAAAAGTATGGTATAGAAGTAAAAATATGATATAGAAGATAAATGGTATACCTGTATGGAGGAGCACTTACCATGAATAGAGCTTTCAGGACTGAAAATTGCTCTGGGTAGGTCAGTGAGTGAGTGGTGAGTGAATATGAAGGCCTTGGACATTACTGTATCTTATTGTAGACTTTATAAGCACTGTACACTTTGGCTACACTAAATTTATAAAAAATATATATATTTTTCTTTCTTCAATGATAAAGTAACCTTAGCTTACTGTAACTTTTTTACTTTGTAAACTTTTTAATTTTTTTAACTTGTTGACTCTTTTGTAATAACACACCTTAAAACACAAACACATTGTACAGCTGTACAATGTTATATTTCTTTATATCCTTACTCTATAAGCATTTTTCTATTTCTTTTTAAAGATTTTCATTTTTTTAATTTTTCCTTCTTCTCCCCAAAGCCCTCCCAGTACATAGCTGTATGTTTTAGTTGTGAGTCCTAGCTGTGGCATGTGGGATGCCACCTCAGCATGGCTGGAGGAGCAGTGCCATGTCTGTGCCCAGGATCCGAACTGGTGAAACCCTGGCCTGCTGAAGCAGAACATGCAAACTTAACCACTTGGCCATGGGGCTGGCCCCAACATTTTTCTATTAAAATTTTTTTTTTTTTACTCTTTTGTTGAAAATTAAGACACAAACACACACATTAGCCTAGGCCTACACAGGGTCAGGATCATTAATATCACTGTCTTCCACCTCCACATCTTGTCCCACTGGAACATCTTCAGGGACAATAACACCCATGGAGCTGTTATCTCCTGTGATACAGTGCCTTATTCTGGAATACCTCCTGAAGGACCTACTTGAGGCTCTTCTTGAGGAGGTATCACTCTTTTCAGAAATATGTCCATGGTGATTTGTTTGTTTTTTTCATCATAGATTTGCTTATAAACAGGTAATGCATTGTGAACATTCCTCTCTATTAATGGAAGCCTTTTGATGTTGAGGTCCATGTTTTCAAACTTTTTAAGAAGCTTGTTGAAGTCTGCAAAAGTTTCTGCTAAACCCTTCACTGTGAATTTTCTTGGGAGTTCTTTTTCTTCTCCTGCAGTTTCCTTTTTCTTGCTATGATGTCACTAAGCATCAGAAATTTTTCAGCTCCATTATAATCTAATGGGACCACCGTTTATGTGGTCATTGACCGAAAAGTCGTTATATGGCATATGACTGTATTTATAGCTCCATGACCTTGGGCAAATTACTTTTAATCTTTAAATCTATTTCCTCATATGTACAATGGGGACAATAAAAGATTTATTGAAAAGATTAAAAACCATGTATGTAGTAAGCATTCAGTAATTACCCCTTTTCTAATATAGGCCTGATGACAGTAGTTTTCTAAAATACAGTAGTTCTGTTTTTATCAATTTTTTATTCTCAATATAGGACATTTAAAAAATCTTTAAGCAATGATTTAGTCCATAAGAAAAATGAACTGTATATGTTTGCACTTGCAGCGAGGTCTGCTTGAAGTGCTGTATGATATATTTCGTCTTCCTCTACCTGTTGTGACTGAAGAGTTCATAGAAGCACTGCTCAGTGTAGGTAAGTATTGAAGTGCATTTGTAGCTATTCATATAATATAACTTTTTAAATGGCTTATCTAATGGACTCTCTCTTAAAGGAAAAATACTGTACTAAATATTGAATATCATTTTCTTTTCTTACGGCATTATTGGGGCATGAAATTAATGTAAAAATAAAATCTCAAATAAAATTCTAAAAATAAGAAATCTTAATTTCTTCTCTATCACCCTAGCTCTTGCAGATGAGCAGTGAGAGTAATAGAAAGATGGACCAAGAAAGGAAGAAAGGAGACAATAAGAAACCTCTGTAATTATCAAATTAGATGGTCTGATTCTTGTCTTATTTTAGCCAAATGACTCCTGAGTCCCCAAATGAAGAAAGTTAGATCTGTGTGCATTTACATACATCATTTTTTTCTGTATGCCTTTTTCAGTCTATTTTTTAACCAACATTTAGAAAAATTGTTCATGGCTTGGCTGGCTAATGGTTCTACACTTATCTGAAGTGTTTTTTTGACATCTAATTTTCTTCTAACCACCTAATTTTAACTGTTTTAGATCCAGGTAGGTTCCAAGACAGTTGGAGGCTTTCAGATGGCTTTGTAGCTGCTGAGGCAAAAACTATTCTTCCTCATCGTGCCAGATCCAGGTAGAATTTAAATAAAGAAATGGTTCAAATTTATTATTACTGTTTTTACATTAAATTATGTAATATTTGGAACATTATTTAAATTGTTTCTGTGCTGTGTTCATTTCCAGGCCAGACCTCATGGATAATTATTTGGCACTGATACTCTCTGCATTTATTCGTAATGGACTTTTAGAGGTAAGACTTATAAACCTGATTTTATTCTGTTTTATTTATTTTGTTTTCTCCAACGAATTCTTTCAGAACAACAGACATAGATGATACATAAATGTATTCATATATACTATTTTGCAACTATGATATTTTCTTTTACTTTCAAAGGGTTTGGTTGAAGTGATAACAAACAGCGATGACCATATCTCGGTTAGAGCTACCATCCTTTTAGGAGAGCTTTTACATATGGTAAGTTTAGCAACTTCTGATTATGTTTCATGTCATTAATGTTTTAATTTATAAACAGGTTATTTTAGCAATGTTACTTTGTATTATCTCAAAAAAATAAATTTGCGTCTGTTTGAATGTTTATCTTTGCATTACAAAGAGCCCTTGATTCCTCGTATCTTGATTTATAGAGAGGCTAGTTTTATAAATGGAACAAATATAAAAAATACAAAATTCTGAATATTAATTTTTACGCTCACTTTCGATGCTGACACTTTCAGTCCTGTAAATCTTAGTGTCTCTCAGAAAGACTTCCTACCTAAACAGCAAGAAATTACAAAACTCATAGATACTACTTCAGTCAGCTAGAAATGGAGTTGATGTATGGCAATCAGTGCCTGAATTAAAGAAAATTTTGTGCGAAATTCTAAATATAACTGTCTTGTTTGAACACAGTCTTCTCACTAAACTTGTAAGTTGAGGTTCAGAGGGTAGGAATCTTTTTCTTTATTTTTTTGGCCTTGATTTTACGACATCAGTAACTTCTGGAAACAGGGAGCTAGGAAAGTGATCTGACCATTTTCTACTCCCAGTAAATTAAGCAATGGGGGAACTCTGATCGTTTGCAAGGTAGAAATTCTTATTTCTAGGTTACCTATTAATAATATACTAAATAAAAAGAACCACTTTAAACTCATCAAGGAAGAAGAACCCTTATGGCAAATCTTTTCAAGTTATGTTATGACTTGCTATTGTTGGCAAAGTATTTTTTGTTTTTATTGTTATTTCAGTCTCCACCTCCAGTTCTATCCCACCTCTGTTTAAGTGAGGTACAGAGAATTGAACAGAGTTTAGTGATAACTGTTTTGTTTATCAGTGAGTTATTTAGCCACTTGCTCTCTTCTTCTTCAGCTGACTATGGAAGAATTCAGTAATATTGCAGGTTCTCAGGTCTGATTATTTTTACTTCTTAAGATATCATTCCTCCTAAGGTTATCAATATCCAGAATTCTTTGCTTTTCCTTGATGGAATTTCTTTCTAAGTTTCATCTGTTCCCTTCCCCCATAGACCAGAATTCTCTGATTCCCTTGAAATATAAAAGCTGGTCATTTTGAGTATAGTGGTGTTAGTTCATTGCTTGTTATACATCTTCTGGCTTCCACATTTAGGTAATTTACTTATTTTCTTTGATAGAAAGCAGAATGAGTAGTGGAATTTTGTTTGGAAAGCAGGAGTTAATAATAAGTTTCTTGTTTGAAAGATTATTGGACTATGAGGCAAACTTATTTTGAGATGATGGTTTTTAAAATTTAGGAAGTCAACTCATAAGTTATGGTATTACAGCTAGCATCTTAAATGTTATTTTTAATGTAACATTGTAGTACGGTATCTAAGTTTTGATATATAAAGCTTTAAGGTCATTTAAGAGTCGAGTTTAATCCAGTATCACTTAAAATTTATAATTTAATGTCATAGTAAAGGATCTATGAAATTCAGTGGTTTTATTAATGTTATGTGAGTTTGTACCTTTACATTGGTCACATTTCATCCTTGTTGAAAGTACATAAGATAAAAATTATAAATATGTATTGGAAAGTAAATGATTAATTTCATAAGACCTCAGAGTCTTTAGTTTTATATCTGTGGATAATCTGTAACATAAAATATTTCTACTTCTCAACTCATAGAATGTTATGTTTCCTTTTAGGCGAACACAATTCTTCCTCATTCACATAGCCATCATTTGCACTGCCTGCCAACCCTAATGAACATGGCTGCATCCTTTGATATCCCCAAGGAAAAGAGACTGTAAGTGTCAGAGCCCTAGCAAAGCTTGTCCCTGGTGTTTGTATTTGATACCCAGTTAGATGACCTTCTCTTCTTTTTTTTTTTTTAAAGATTTTTTTTTTATTTTTTTCCTTTTTCTCCCCAAAGCCCCCCGGTACATAGTTGTATATTCTTCGTTGTGGGTCCTTCTAGTTGTGGCATGTGGGACGCTGCCTCAGCGTGGTTTGATGAGCAGTGCCATGTCCGCGCCCAGGATTCGAACCAACGAAACACTGGGCCGCCTGCAGCGGAGCGCGTGAACTTAACCACTCGGCCACGGGGCCAGACCCGACCTTCTCTTCTTTTTAAAAAAGTAGTATATATAGGTTATGCTAGGATGTTCTTTTAGGGAAGCCTTACAGATAAGAGGAAAATTAATAGTTTTATTTAATAATTTGTATTTTAGACTGTAAGGTATTAGAACTTAGTAAAATCAACTTTTTCTAGCATGTTTCTGATTAAGGACATAGATTTTCTACTAGATCACTAAAAATGTTGTTTGAGAGGTTTTTTCGACTATTTTACGTTTTGAGCAACAATTTAGGCTCTTTTTTAATGTCTAAATTGTTTCAAATTCATGAAGCACAAAGACTAACAGTGTATTCTTTTATATGTGTGGTTAAAAATTATGGAAGTGAGTACCCTATACTATAATAACTAAAATTCTTCAATGCTGAAGGAGATAATTGCAAACAGAATTTATAAACAAAAGTGTGGTAATACAGTTATAGCTCTGCTGGAGTTCCAGTACTAATAATAAAATACAATTTAAAGGGTAAAGATGGAGGAGCTTGATTGGGAAGTACTAGTAGGAATCTTTTTTCACTTGGTAAAGATTATGTCTAGGCCAGGGGTGTTTTTTTTTTCCCCTATTATGATCAGAAAAATTTATATATTTGGACCTCATTATTTCTTTTTGTAGTGTTAGTGAAATGTGGTTCATTAGCTATTCAGAAATGAATTTTTGTGAACAGTTATAGTACGTTTCTCAAAAGTTTAGTTAGATTTAATAATTAAGTACACATATGGGCTGCACTATAAATAAATAATATTCTGTTTATTAATTTTGATTCTGTCAATGAAAATACTATTGTTTAACAGACTGAAGTTGTGTTATAAACTGAGGGCATGAGGGCCCATCTCAGTTCTGACGCTAGCTTACATTAGTAATGGTAACTTTCAGTTTTTATTTCAGTAGTTTCAAGATGGAAAAATGTACTTTCCCAAAGCCTGGTAGACCTAAACTCTCTGGGTCAGATTATGGCCATGAATTTCGGGATTCATGAGGAATTTAAACTTACCTTCAAAATTCTAGTAATAATAGCCTTCTTAGAATGCTTTTTGTTTGTTTGGGTTTTTTTGTTTTCTTTTAGCTCGGTAAGCTCCTTTACTGGATAGAGTAAATACTTGCCAATCTGAGCACATCTCAAGGTTTTTAAATTTTAAATCTGATTTGTATTTACCAGAAGTTCTGAAGTAGAGACTTGATTGCTACCAAATTCTTGCAAACTGCACTTTTATGCACCACAAAGAAGTAAAAATAATTTTTAGAAGGATACCATTTATAGTTGCAGATCAGTGGGAAAATAAAGACTGTTCAGTTGATGGTGGAATTATTGATTATTCACATGGGAAAATGAAATTATCTGTCAACCTCATATCTTAAATAAAAATCAGTTTCAGGTGGATTAAGGACTTAGACATGAAAAGCAAAGTTTTGAAACAATTATAAAAATATATAGAAAATTAGATTTCTGACCTTGTAGAAGGAGTTCTTAAAACCAATATATAAAAAGTGCCCATCACCATAGAAGAAAAGATTAGTAAGTACATGTTTAGTTGAGTCTAAATAATTAGTATTTCTTCATATAAATCAGCAGTGTTCTTGATTTTTTTTTCCTTATTCCAAATTTTATTTTTTAGCATCTCTTTTATGTTATTTTACTTTTTGATGGGGAAGATTCACCCTGAACTAACATCTATTGCCAGTCTTCCTCATTTTTTTTTTTTTTCCGCTTAAAGAAGATTAGCCCTCAGGTAGCATCTGTGCCAGTCCTCCTCTATTTTGTATGGGAGTTGCTGCCTCAGCATGTTTGACGAGTGGTGTATGTCTGCGCCTGGGTTCTGAATCCATGAACCTGGGCCACCGAAGCAAAGGACGTGAAGTTAACCACTACACTACAGGGCCGGATAATTTACTTTTTAGTAACAATCTCTACCTTGAATTTATGTAAATTTTAATAGAGTAGGTCACCAAAGTGATCTCTTTAAAGTTACGCTAGCCTTGCTATAGTATTGATTGAATTTTTTTCTCATTAGGCGAGCCAGTGCAGCCTTGAACTGTTTAAAACGCTTCCACGAAATGAAGAAACGAGGACCTAAGCCTTACAGCCTTCATTTAGATCACATTATTCAGAAAGCAATTGCCACACACCAGAAACGGGATCAGTATCTCCGAGTTCAGAAAGATATATTTGTTCTTAAGGTACTGATATGAAATCACCTTTTTGCAGTTTTATTCATGTGATGGATGTTCAAATGGCTCCCAGGTTTTGTAAAGACTAGGCAGTTTTGAGCTATGTTTTACAACTTTTTAAAGTTAAAAAACCTCGATAATTCATCCTTAAATGAAATATCTTTGCTTTCCTTTTTAAAATTTCAACGTAGTTTTCTGATGTGAGGACAGTTTGCCTTAATTTTTCTTATTATTTTCTGGTGATTTTAGGATACAGAGGAGGCTCTTTTAACGAACCTTAGAGATAGCCAAGTCCTTCAACATAAAGAGAATCTTGAATGGAATTGGAATCTTATAGGGACCATTCTTAAGGTATGACAGGATGCTTCTTGGTGATGGGTTGATTGTCTTCATTTTATTATTCATTGTAATTCAGCATAATTGTATGTTTGGGAATTGATAAATATGTATATAATATAACATATTATGTTTTTCTAGTGGCCAAATGTAAATCTAAGAAACTATAAAGATGAACAGTTGCACAGGTATGTAAGAAGTGTTTTGCATTTAAATTTTAAAAACTTAGTTTTGAATTATAACTAATATCTACTGAAAGTAATAGTTGGTGTTTTAATGATACATAAATTTTAGTAGTTGGTGTTCAATAGGTACATAATGTACATTTTTATATATAGTCTTATTTTATAACCAAAAAGCATCAGCTGATTCTTTTTCTAGTTATTTACATTCTAGTTTTAGTTTTGGAACAAATGAAGTACTTGAAATAAAGCTTTCTCAATTTGAGGTAATATCAACCATGTGGTAATCTTAGCTCTCACATATGAGGATGACATAATAAGGACATATTGTTTCCCCTCCCCAAAATAATGGCCATTTTTAATATTTCATTTCTACTTCCATTTGCATCTGACTTTGGAGGATTCATTCTTCCTCCTCTTTATACTCCTCTTAACCAAGTTGATGCTCTCCATACCTTCCATAAAATATAGTAATGTTCATAGCATGTAAAGCACATCAAGCTACTATGCTGTTCTCTAGTACCCCCATGCATTTTTAATCCTTCCCAGTTTAGATTAACCAACCACCATTACCGATCTTATTAGAGGTCACTTAAGAGGGCCTTTATTGCATCTTTAGAAATTCGTCATTAGCATTATTATTTGATTGTATTCATCTACTCATGATATTTAACTTAATATCTATATTAAGTTTTGAGAAATATATAGAACGTACAAATTACATTGGAATAAAGAACTATAGCACTAACTTTTCATACTCCTTGAGAACAGAGATGATGCCTCATTCAGCTTTGTTTCTCCAGCTCCTGGACCTGAAAACCTTTATTGGATTGGATTGTAGTACATGAAGTTAAATTGAACTAAATTAGGTGGAAGCTTAGAGCATACTGTTGAGAATTATGACATTGAAATATCATAAATTATGTCCATTGCTTCATAAATTCAGTTGTCTAAATTTTACCTGCAGCTTTTATGCTTGGCTTTTTGCCTAATTGTGAAAAAACTGACAAAATCATAGTGTGGTAACATTTGCTTACAATTATTTAGTATAAGATTATTTTATAAAGCCGTGGGACAAAGTTCTTGATAAAATACTGTAGAAGAAAATTTATGTCGAGGTGGCTTCCTTATATTTATCCAACCTTATCTTCTTATGTTATATCTGCATTTTTCCTACTAGCATCTTTCTTCTCCAGTATTTCTTTCAGGCATCTCACCATAAAATTCTTATTTCACAAAGATATTGTTTACAATGAAGAGGTTTTTTTTAGTTGATTTTGTTGTTTTCTTTTTTTGTTTTGTTTGTGAGAGAGAGAGAAATGTACCAAATGTGTTTATTAAATTTCTTGCCGTTGGTTTAGACCTAAAACTTACTCAAAACTTTATGATGTCATAAGCTATGGTTAAGATTCTAAAATAATGGTTTGCTTTCTTACTTTGTTGCTAATTTTATTCTGATCTTAGGTTTGTACGAAGACTACTTTATTTTTACAAGCCCAGCAGTAAATTATATGCCAACCTGGATCTGGATTTTGCCAAGTCTAAGCAGCTCACAGTTGTGGGTTGCCAGTTTACAGAATTTCTTCTTGAGTCTGAAGAGGTAATAAGCACTTCGAATATTTTCCAAAGCAAATGTTTTTCATTGAATTTTCCCCCTTCCTTTTATTTCTGAATATGCATAAGCTGTATTTGAAAACACAAAAAATGAGCCCACGCTTCGATTTGAGTTCTTAGTCACTAGCTACGTATGTGACATTGGGCAAGTTATTTGCCTTCTAGAAGATGTGGTTTTCTCTTTGTAAAATGGGAAGTAATACCATATCCATGCCACATTGTGTTGAATGGGATTAAAAACAAAAGATTGACATCTGTTATTAGTAACTTCATCATTATCATTAAATTTTTTGGACTTGATTAAAGTTGATTTTTCTAATTATAGGCACTAATGACTTTTCCAACAATATCACAATGTATTTGCTTTTAGGATGGGCAAGGATACTTAGAAGATCTAGTAAAGGATATTGTTCAGTGGCTCAATGCTTCATCTGGAATGAAACCTGAAAGAAGTCTTCAAAATAATGGTTTATTGACTACTCTTAGTCAACACTACTTTTTATTTATTGGAACACTTTCTTGCCACCCACATGGAGTCAAAATGCTGGAAAAATGCAGTGTATTTCAATGGTGAGCATACCTAGGTTCTGTTTCAGTATATACCTAAACTTTATTTTTAATGTAGTCAAAAATGGTATGCTTTTTAGTCTATGTACGTGTGTTTAAGTTTTATTTAAATGCAAAAAAGAAAAATTTAGAGTTGTCTTGATGCTTTGATATTCTTTTTTTATGTGATATTTGTCATTAAATGCTTTCTTTTATAAATGCTTGTTTGTATTAGGAATTTAAAAGTATTTGTTAAGTTAATAAATTGATACAGGAATTTCTAGTAATTCTTGAAATAATGAATTAGTTTCATTCTTTTTTTTAGTCTCCTTAACCTTTGCTCCTTGAAAAATCAAGATCACTTGCTGAAACTGACTGTTTCTAGCTTGGACTATAGCAGAGATGGATTGGCTAGAGTCATCCTTTCTAAAATCCTAACTGCAGCCACTGATGTGAGTATAACGTAGGCAATAAAAGTATTTTTTAATAACCAGTTAATTCAATACTTTATAAGTTTTCGCCAAGTAAAATTAATTATAAATTCTAAGAACATGAGATGAAATTTGTTTACTTTAAAATTTTAGTTCGTCCAAAGAACTCCATAGAGTATTCACAATTTTACATAAAGGGGAAGAAGCAGCTAGATAGAAACAAAAGTATTTTGTTTTACCAGGACTGAAAAAGTATTCATATGGAGGGCTAACCCATCAATTCCAATCTTTGTGCCCATTTCAAGTAGCAGAACTGTCCCCCAGAAGAGTCAAATTGGCTGTCCATAGCGAAGTTTGGCTTGTTTTTTTTAATGTTCTCATTTACTTTTACAGGCCTGCAGGCTGTATGCAACAAAACATTTAAGAGTATTATTGAGAGCTAATGTTGAATTCTTCAATAATTGGGGAATTGAATTACTAGTGACCCAGCTACATGATAAAAACAAAACAATTTCTTCTGAAGCTCTTGATATCCTTGATGAAGCATGTGAAGACAAGGTGAAGGTTCATTTTTTTTAATATAATAAAATATTTAGACATGAATTTTTATTAAAATATTCAATTTTGAGAGAAAATTATGTGAAATTTTGGAAATAGAGAGTTTACTATCTTTATATAATTGTTAATTTGTCTAATAATTATTTCTTTTAGGCCAATCTTCATGCTCTTATTCAGATGAAGCCAGCTTTATCCCACCTTGGGGACAAGGGTTTGCTTCTCCTCCTGAGGTAAATTTTCAGTAAATTTTTTCTTGTAGTTATGTTTTCTGTTGTGTTCTTTCTGGCAGTGTATATTAAAGCTGGATTCAAGTCTGAAAAGGAAGCACTCTAAAGAGGTTAGCTGTTAACTCTGAAAGAGGCCTATTTTAGAATCTTGGACATTCTGTACTACTGAAACTTTGTCTTTTCATCGTTTTCCTTAATGCTTCTTTTGCATTTCTATGTCTCCTCATGCTTTTCATGATTTTCTTTACTGTGATTGGATCCATGTGTTTGCACAAGGATTGTGAAATTTGTAATTGAAGTTAGCAATAAGTAATAGTTGACCTTTTAGTTTTATGAAGGAGTTATTCCTAAAGTTTTTTAGCTCCTTAAACATATTTTTTGTTTGAGATATTTTAGCTCCTTAAACTTTTTTTGTCAGGCTCAAAGCTAAACTATTGCTTGTTTTAATTTACAGATTTCTCTCTATTCCAAAAGGGTTTTCCTATTTGAATGAAAGGGGATATGTAGCAAAACAATTGGAAAAGTGGCACAAGGTAACTTTCTATTGAATAAGATTCAGTTTGTATGTTTCTGTCTTGGGAAATAGGTTTGTGAATTTAGAGGATTTTTTAATGTCAGTGTTTTGAAACTAAAGAAGTTAAATATTTAAACATTCAGTTGAAGTTGTCTTAAATTCTTTATAATTATTTATATTTTTAAACTGCAGTTATTTTATAGTGAGCTATTGAATTTGTGTACATTCTGTTGAAATTTTGCTTTCAGCTTAATTGATATCATCTACTAATATAATTTATCAACCCTACTTACCATCGTTTCTTTTAATCTTGAGTGTATAGCTGTTTTAAGCTAAAACTAAAACAATTTCCTGAATGAAGGAAGATTGTAGGACAGTTCTAACAAACAAATATAATAATAATTAAACTTTATTTTAGGATGCTACTTTACATCAATCTGAGGACCAGCTTCTTGCTGTTGTAGATAATAAGGGAAACCTAGGAAGAAGGGAGTAATTTGAAGGTGTTAGATAACTTCCTAGCTTTTCTTTAGCTGGTCATCATTTTGGCTTCATTTTGTTTGAAGCATTATAAAATGTCAAAGCATCTTAGAAACTCATGGAATAATCGATCCTAATGTAAATGATTTTTAGATTTTCCATCATTTCAGGTAATTATTTATATTGCCTATATTGAGCCATATTTCGTAAGAGATCCTCACTTTTAAAAAATACTTAACTGGAAAGCATACAACTTCAGGCATGAAGCCTTTCAATAATTGGTGAATTAGAGAACTAAGATAAGATGTGATAGTTTAGTTCCTAAGTAGAAGATATTTAAACCAATTACCATAATAAAATTAGTCAGCTTATTATTACAAATGATAATATTAGGAAATTGCTTAGCAAATCTGGTACAGTATTTTCAGATAGTAGGTACAAAATAGGACTGCTATAACAAAGGCATGTGCCGTGTATAAGGAAACACAGAGGAAGATTTAATGATTCTGCCTTAGGGATTAGCAAAAGAAATGTTAGATGGGCTCAGGAAAAGATAGGATATTTCAAATGGTCTTAAGGAGTAAGTAGGCAAATAAATTGGAAGAAAGATATTCAAAGGTGAGGGAGCAGAATAATAAATCTGTATAGATTATTGAAACTTCACAGACTCGTGAAGAAAGCCATATTCCATGCAGTTGGGGCTAGGATAAGTGGGAAATGGCAAGATGAGTCTGGAATGGTAAATTAGAACCAGATTGTAGAAGGCCTTATAAGGCACGTTATGTCATACTAGGGAATTTCAATTTTATAGGAAGTGGGGGAATTGTTACAAGTGTTTAAAGAGTAAGCATAGAGCTGTGCTTTACAAACATGACGGATCACAATGTAGAAGCGTAAGTTTGTTCCTCAAAGGTAAAAGGTAGGAATATTGAGAACAATTTAGAAGCAAGAAATGATAAGAGCATGAGCTTCAGTGGTGATGAGGTTGGATAGGCAGGGACATGTTTTCTGGGCATTTCTGAAGTAAGATGGACAGAATTTGTGGACTGCTTGGATATAATGAGTGAGGGGTTTAACTTGACTCTTAAGGTTTCTAATTTAAGGGACTGAGTATATAATGGATCACCATTAAGAGATTGTGATTGCAAAATGTGTTTTGCGGGATGAGGATAATGAATTTTGAATATGTTTAAGTGGTATTGCCTGTGGGATAACTAGGTGCTGGTATCCAGAAAACATTTGGAAATATGGAGCTGGAGCTCAGATCTGTGCTGAAGATGGCAGTTTGGGAGTCATCAGTGTATGGTAGCAGCAGCAGTAGTAGTAGTAGTTAAAAACAGAAATGAGTGAGATCACAAGGGAAAATATAAAGAACAAAAAAGAAATCACGCTGAAAATTGCTCCCCAGGGAATACTCTGGTTCAGTAAGGGGAATAAAAGGACAAGGATACTGAGAAAAACATTATCAACGAGAATGGTGTCACTAAAGGATGCTTCAGGAAGGAGAGGCCAGGGGTACAAATTCTTAGAGAGGTCACAGAAGATGAATACTGGAAAACAGGCTGTTAAATTTGACAGGTCATTGGAGAATTTTGCTGGAGCAATTTCAGTAGAAAGTTACAAACAGATGCTGAATTGCAGTTACAGTTAGTTAGGCAGTAAATGGGAGGTTTAAAAATACAGGCAATGTAGTCTGCTCTCTCAGATTAATTAGAGAAAGGGAAGGAAACTAGCTTATTAATTGCCTATCACTGAACTTAGTGCTTTTCAAGTATTACCTCAGTTAATTCTCACAGCAACCCTATGAAATATATTCTGTTATTTCTATTTTGTGAATGAAAACGTGGAAGCTAAGAGAAGTAAACTAATTTATCCTGAGTCACAAAGCTTCAATATAGCAGAACAGGGGCACTTTTTGATGCCAAAGCCCATGCTCTTTCCACTGTATTGGATTTCCTCCCAGTAGCTTGTGGCATGCCAAGATGAAGTGAGACTGCCTCTTTTTCAAGATAATAAAACATCCAGGCCAGGATATTAAAAATCTACTCATTCAATTTAAAACTTCTCTCCCCAAGACCAGGCCTGATAGAGACTTAGAAACCTACAGTGGGGGGAGGATATGGTTAATTCCGTCACTCTTTGTTTCTCATTTTCTTCCCCATTTACTAGCTGCAAGTTTTGGGCTACTCCAGATTTGGAGCAGGAGGAGGAACAAGGGGTAAGGGGTCATGAACAGTCTTACTCAGTTGGTACAGTTGTCATCTGGGGTTGTTAGCTTTGAGTGTCAGATTTCAAATGTTAATTCTTTTGCTTGAGGGTTACTTTATGAATTCTTCAAAGACCTCACCACTGAGGATCTCCTATCTGCAGTTCCCTGCACTAGGGCAATGGCTCCTACCTACTTATACTGCCCCCAGTAGCTAGAAGTCCTCCCCTCAGTTGGAGTCTTCTTGCCCCTTCAGGTAGGTCCTTTTGGGCGGAATCCTCAAGATGATCCACATCAGAAACTCAGTGCATTTCATAGCTATAAACCATACTCTGAGCTTTGCTAGTGTTTTCTTAGTGAATGCCACTGGTCAAAAGATTAATCAGGTAATACCACATGAATGTAACTACTCCTGCATAATAGTCAAAATACCTGCCTTAATTAGATTTTTGTACTCAGTTTTCATGTATAGAGGGGAATATGGTAGTACAGTGGTAGTAGTAGCAGTAGTAATAATTATGGTATGCTGATAAAATTAAAACCTCATATTACTATTGCAAAATAAATATGGAACCTAAAGGAAAAGTAAGTTTTTTAGAGGCTCTAAGTAGTTAAAGTAACCCACTGAATTCAAGTAGTCTAAAATGGTTTAAAATGAAAAGTAATTCTCCCTGCCCCCTTCTGTCTTTTCTGACAGTAATATCTGTTGACAATTTCTTTTGTATGCATTCAAAGATGTTCTGTACATCTATAAGTACATATTCTTTATTTAAAAATACAGACAAATTCTATTTACAACTGTAGATAAAACTGTATTTAACTTTTTCATTTAGCAATGTATCTGAGAGATCTTTTCAGAGCTATGCATTTAGGTGTATCTCATTCTCTTGAAAGGCTGCGTAGTTTATTAAATGAAATGTACCTTAATTTTTATCACCACTTCTGTCTTGATGGGCATTTAAATTGTTTCCAACTTTTTAATTTTGTAAATAGTATTTGTATTCTTGCATATATATCTTTGCATACTTTTGCAAGTATATCTGTTGGTTAAGTTTCTAAAGTTTCATTGTTGAGGGCCGGCCTGCTGGTGTAGTGGTTCGGTTTGCATGTTCTGCTTTGGTGGCCTGGGGTTCTCAGGTTCAGGTTCCAGCGCGGACCTACATACTGTTCATCAAGCCATGCTGTTGCGGCATCCCACATACAAAATAAAGGAAGATTGCCACAGATGTTAGCTCAGGGCCAATCTTCCTCACCAAAACAACAACTAAAATGAATTTAAATTTTTGATAAATACTGCCAAATTGCTTTCCAAAGAGGTTCTACCAATTCCTTCTAACCAGTTTGAAGTGAAGATCTTTTACAATAAAGATGGCCGTGTGCTTGACTCTCAGTTTAAAGAATTTTTTTTTCTTTTTCTTTTTGAGGAAGATTAGCCCTGAGCTAACTGCTGCCAGTCCTCCTCTTTTTGCTGAGGAAGACTGGCCCTGAGCTAACTAATATCCGTGCCCATCTTCCTCAACTTTATATGTGGGATGCCTACCACAACATGGCTTGCCAAGCAGTGCCATGTCCGCACCCGGGATCCGAACCGGCAAACCCCAGGCCGCCAAAGCAGAACATGCAAACTTAACCGCTGTGCCAGCGGGCCAGCCCTAGTTTAAAGAATTTGACTAGAAGTTTTCCAAGTTTTAGTTGGAAATACTTTTTACATTTGACCTGATTTAAATGAGTGGGGAAAAATATACTATTGCTTATCAAAAGGTGCCAATATGGTAGAACTCAGTTAATTTCCTTATTTTTTTATTTTTTCAAATATTTTATTGAGGTCATAATGGTTTATAACGTGTAATTTCAGATGTAGATTATTATTTATCAGTTTCTATGTATGCTTCATTGTGCTTGCTACCAATCGTCTAATTTTTATCTTTATGTCTTTTGCTCACCCCCTCCACCTCCTTCCCTTCTGTTAACCACTGATCTGTTCTCTTCATCCATGTGTTTGTTTATCTTCCACATATGAGTGAAATCATGTAGTGGTTGTCTTTCTTTGCCTGGTTTATTTCACTTAACATCATACCCTGAAAGTCCATCCATGTTGTTGCGAATGGGACAAGTTTGTCTTTTTTTATGGCTGAGTAGTATTCCATTATGTATATATATACCACATCTTCTTTATCCATTCGTCCATTGTTGGGCACTTGGGTTGCTTCTACTTCTTGGCTAATGTGAATAATGCTGCAGTGAACATAGGGATACATAGATCTCTTTAAACTGTTGATTTCAAGTTCTTAGGATAAATACCCAGTAGTGGGATAACTGGATCATACGGTATTTCTCTTTTTAATTTTTTGAGAAATCTCCATACTGTTTTCCATAGTGGCTGCATCAGTTTGCATTCCCACAAACATTGTACGAGGGTTTCTTTTTCTCCATATCCTCTCCAAAATTTGTTACTTTTTGTCTTGAAATTATAGCCATTCTGACAGGTGTAAGGTGATATCTCATTGTAGTTTTGATTTTCATTTACCTAATAATTAATGATCGTGAGCATCTTTTCATGTGCCTATTGGCCATCTGTATATCTTCTTTGGAAAAATAGCTGTTTATATTCTCTGCCCATGTTTTGATCAGGTTGTTTGTTTCTTTGTTGTTGAGTGGTATAAGTTCTTTATGTATTTTGGAAATTAACCCCTTGTTGGATATACGATTTACAAATATTTTCTCCCTTCTGGTGGCTTGTCCTTTCATTTTGTTCATGGTTTCCTTTGCCTTGCAGAAGCTTTTAGTCCTATTTGTTTATTTTCTTTTCCCTTGCCTGAGTAGACATGGTATTCGAAAAGCTGCTGCTAAAACCAGTATCAAAGAGTGTACTGCCTATATTTTCTTTTAGGAGTTTTAATAGTTTCAGGTCTTAATTCAAGTCTCTAATCCACTTCTAGTTAATTTTTGTTTATGGTGTAAGATAATGGTCTACTTTCATTCTTTTGCATGTGGCTGTCCAGTTTTTCCATCACCATTTATTGAAGAGACTTTCCTTTCTCTGTTGTAGTTTTTGGCTTCTTTGTCGACGATTAGCTCTCCACAGATGTGTGTTTTTATTTCTGGACTTTCAATTCTGTTCCATTGATCTGTGTGTCTGTTTTTGTGCCAGTACCATGCTGTCTTAATTACTATAGCTTTGTAGTATGTTTTGAAGTCAAGGATTGTGATGCCTCCAGCTTTGTTCCTTTTCCTTAGGATTGTTTTGGCTATTCGAGGTCTTTTGTTGTTCCATATAAATTTTAGAATTCTTTGTTCTGTTTCCGTGAAGAATGTCATTAGGATTCTGATTGTGATTGCATTGAATCTATAGATTGCTTTAGGTAATATGGACATTTTAACTATGTTTATTCTGGAATGTATATTCTGGAATATCCATTTCTTTGTGTCTTCTTCGATTTCTTTTGATAATGTCTTATAGTTTTCAGTGTATAGGTCTTTCATCTCCTTGGTTTAATTTATTGCTAGTTATTTTACTCTTTTTGTTGTGATTGTAAATGGGATTGTATTCTTGAGTTCTCTTTATGCTAGTTAGCTATTTGTGTATAGAAATGCAACTGATTTTTGTAAGTTGATTTTGTACCCTGCAATTTTGCTGTAGTTAATTTTCTTTTTAAAATTTCTAGTGAATATGTTGTGTGTTTAATATTAAGAAGCTAGTTTTTTTTTTTTTAATGGAGAAAGGGATTCAAATAAGATGAAAAACAAAATTAACTTACTTATATGGACCCTGAAATATTAATTGAAAATGGAGGGCAAAGTATTAGCAGAAAGCCTTTGGGTATGATAGAACGTTTACATTTATAATACCTTGTTCTATCCTTTTCAAAAATTTCTTAAATTTCCTAAACAGATGTTCACTGTTCTCATATTTATGCTTCCAAGATTTGCTAGGTAGCTAACATATTACAAATTTAGTTAATGTTGTTATGATACTATATGCAATTAAAACAATATTGTCTTGTAGGAATATAATTCAAAATACGTTGACTTGATTGAGGAACAACTTAATGAAGCACTTACTACTTATCGGAAGCCAATTGATGGTGATAACTATGTTCGTCGGAGTAACCAAAGGTAGAGTCCAGTTAGTGGAGTAATTTATTGCTGATCTTCAAATATAAAATTAAAACCAGTTTGTAATAAATCATTATTTAAAAAAATAAATCATTAGTTTTAAATCATGTACTTTTAAAATGGTTCATAGCATGGTGAATACACTCACTGATACAGCATTCAGATACCGTCCATGCTCTTACCCTAGTCTGTCTTTCTAGTTTCTTCTCTCTTACCATTGCTGTGAGACCAGCTAAACTGTTATTTTTCTAGAGAAATCCTCATGCCTTTCAACCTGTGTATTTTTATGTATGCTGAGAGATTATATCTAATTCTGTTTATCTACTACTTTATTACTAGTTATTGTTTTAATGAGCGTATTTAAAATAAGCTAATAGGTATATCGATCATCTTTGTTATACTAGATTACAGCGTCCTCATGTCTACCTGCCTGTACACCTTTATGGACAACTGGTACATCACAAAACAGGCTGTCATTTGTTGGAAGTACAGGTAAAAACATAATTAATTTTAAATAGCTACAATAGTAGCAAAAAATGTTAATATTGCTAAAGTATTATTTTTGCAAAACTTCTCAAAAACTTTCAACTCAACGTCATAATTGCTTTTAAAGGTATCCATCTTGTAAATTGACTTAGGCATTCTGCACTTATAATGCTTAGACATATTACTGGCTTGTGTGCATTTCCCTGATTTATGTGTTAGCCTTTACATAACTAACTTGTTAGGTAGTATAAGTAACCCACAGAAGGTCTGAGGTCTTTGCTTCATAGACTGCTGGAAAAGTTTATTCCGTAGTAAAAACATACTGAAAAACTGAGTTTCTTCATTCCTCTTGTTGGGAAATTAAACTGAACACAATACAGATTCTGTTATCTTTGGTGAGCAACAAACTGAAAGTGTAAGTTGCTCTTTGTTAGTGCTTCACTGTTCTCATGTGCTTCATGGACTGTAACAGGCTTAGGCAGCAGTTGTTCTTGAATGTAGTATGCACGCCGAATTTATGGCTGTGAGTATGTCTTGCAACTAGATGTTTTCAGTAAATATAACCTTTTTCTTATTTTAGAGATGAATAGTTATAGAAGTTTGTGTCTGTGTCTGAACAATAGTAATCTAGCAATTTAGTTCCTTTTGTATCAGTGTTCATCTCAGGAGCAAAAGTTTTGCATAAATATATTCTACAGTTTCATATAATTTTATATTATGTCTATGAAGACTACTGGGGCACACATCTTTATATTAATTTTTTTTTAATTCACTAAAAATTTGAATGATTTGCTCAGTGTCGTTACCTATATAGTATGGTAAAATCTTTTGAGTTAATTATTTTCTATTTAAAGGAAATAATCATAATTATGGCTAACATTTTTGTAATACTAGGTACTAAGTACTTTGTTAAGCACTTTATATGTAATAATTTATTAAATCATCAAACCTTATGAGACAGATGCTGTTATTATCATCCCTATTTTAGAGATTAGGAAATCCAGGCCTGGAGAGATTAAGTAACTTGCTCAAGGCCACATAGATACTAAGTGCTGACTCTAGAATATAAACTCAGAGCCCATGTACTAATGCTGCTCCTTAAGAAGTTTTACATAAAATTATTTTAGAATTTTAAATATGCAGAAATTACTAAATGCAGATCTTACATAGGTCTTAAGATGCAATTAGAAAATACGTTAAAAACATATTGTTACTCATAAGGTTTTTTTTCCCTTTCCCTAGAATATTGTTACAGAACTCTGTCACAACGTTCGTACACCAGATTTGGATAAATGGGAAGAAATTAAAAAACTGAAAGCATCTCTTTGGGCCTTGGTTTGTAATAAACATTTCTATAAGATCTTCATAATTTTTAGATTTTTCTAATTTTACCATTAATATTAAATGAATAAAAATCATTTTATTTGGAACTTGTTCTTAGATTAATATTCTAAGACCAAGATTGTTCCTGCCCACTTAAATATCATTTTTATACTGGAAAATAGATGGTTAAATTATCGGTTTTCTTGGTAAGACAAATGGGACATTAATTCCTAAAATTTCTTATTTGAAGTTTTTTTTCCACATTTTTGTTTTTCCTCTCTCATAGATGGGGATGTGTTTTCTGGTTTTTTGGGTAACTTTCCAAATCTTTTGAAATAGTTAGTTTGGTAAATATATTTGATGTAAGTGATTTATTTTCTTTCAGGGAAATATTGGCTCATCAAATTGGGGTCTCAATTTGCTACAGGAAGAAAATGTAATTCCAGATATACTAAAACTTGCGAAACAGTGTGAGGTTCTTTCCATCAGAGGGTATGTCATTTAACTCAGAAATTTTTCTAATGTATATATTATTATTCACAAATGAGTGTGAGGAAAGAGTATTTTATTATACAATGTAGTCCTTTAGAACTGTTAATTCACTGCAAGTGCTAATGATACAAGATTTTTAAATGCATTAAGTTAAATATCTCAAGGACCTCCTTGTTTAATATTATCTTTCCATTTTTATCATTAGAATGTTGAAGTTTACTTTGCAAGTAAACAGTGAAAATGTAACATGTGTCCAAATATTCCAGTAGTCCGATAGCCCAAATATTCCAGATTTATCCCAGAAAAGCTAATATATGTCTCTTTTTCTGAGATTGCATTATGTTCTTTTAAATTATTTCATTGTAATTAATATTTTTATTAGGAAGGTTTTCATGTTTTTTATTGCTTCTAATTTACTCCTAATGCGTTTTAATACATTTTTCCACGAGCTAAACAATTTTTAGTGGCTTTTAAAAAAACTTTAAATGTACATATAGCAAACTAATGTTTTGTGGTAGCTTTAAGAAATCTTAGTTTGGAATTCTAAACTGTCATTACTGTATCTTTTACATACAGGACCTGTGTATATGTACTTGGGCTCATAGCCAAAACAAAACAAGGCTGCGATATTCTAAAATGTCACAACTGGGATGCTGTAAGGCACAGTCGCAAACATCTCTGGCCAGTGGTTCCAGATGATGTGGAACAACTGTGTAATGAACTCTCTTCTATCCCAAGCACCCTAAGTTTAAACTCCGAGTCAACAAGCTCTAGACATAATAGTGAAAGTGAATCTGCACCATCAAGTGAGTATTGTGACAAGGTCATACACAGTTACCCAAAATTAACGTTTGTATTTGTAATATCAAAATTTAAATGTATTTGTTATATTCCTAATTTACTTTTTTCTAAGATAATTTGGCAGCGTTTTGGAGAATGCATATCTTTTCACCACAGATTAAAGCCACCATCGTACATTGTTTTCTACCCTTGCTTTCAAAATAGCCTTTGGAAAATCTTACTTACAGAGTTAAATAATAAACCATGCACCAAAAGAATCATTCCCCATTTTTGCTTGTCATAAAATCTAATAAGTAAATGTTTATCTGTCTACCTTCTTCATTTACACAGGTTTTTTAACTCATTTTTCAGATAAAGAGATTGTTGAACCAGAATATATTTGTTAAGAAATATTATATTCACATGTTCATTTTTGAGAGAAGAGCTAAATTTTAAAACTGAATAGTGAAACTGTTAAAAGATATGAGTATCAAAAATCAATTAAATAAAAAACAGTTTGTGGTTTTAAGCCCTGTGCTAAATGCTATTAGGTGTACAAAATTTAAGACGTCATTCTTTTTAAGAAGATAGTACAACATTTATCAAACCATATTTCATCAGATCTAAGATACCATGAATTATAAGATGCACCAGTATTTTATGTGCCACTAAAAATGAAGACAGCAATGCTGCCTATTAAACTAGGACATACCACTGATTGCAAGATGCATCCTGATTTTAGAGATACTAAGTGTGAAAAGTGTCCATCTTAGAATTGACAAAATATGGAAATACACTGCAATATGCAAGTTTATTACTTTATTTTGCCTTCTTTCAAAGTATATTTGAAGAAGTTTATAATTATTCAAGAGAAAAGTAAAAAATAAAACTAGAATAAAATCCTGTAGATGTCATTAGGCATCTCAAAATATTGAGTCTTTTGTTAGAGTTAGGCACTGAATTTAGATAAGTTTCTTACTACCCAAGGCAAAATGAGAAATAAATATAATTGGTTTAAACATGAATTTAAAATGTTATGACTTGATACTTTATTGTGACTTGAAATATACTTTGTAAGTATATTTCAAGATTGGGGATTCATTTCTTATGAGATTAATTTCTCCTGCTTGTTGTGATTTGGAGAATAAACTACGAGGAATCTGTACCAACTGAGTGAACATCCATGGTCAAGTCTCCTTTTTCCCCTTTAATTTTATCCTGAATATTTGGAGGTTTTGGGAAACTCACTGGAATAATAAAAAGAAACTTTATGTAAGCTCTGCCATATTGAGCCCTATAGTTTTCTTTGGAAATAACAGAAGATCCTCATAATGACATAGTTTTACATTTTATTCAAGTCCAAACTGTGGGTCTCAAGAAAGCACTTTTTATGTGACTCAGCAGCTGAACCCTTTATTTTTGAAAATTTTTTCCCTAGATGACTGTTAAACAGAAATTTCTGAAATATGTCATTAATAGTTACCATGATTTTGTTTGTCATTTTTTACATGCCTTTACTAATCAATCCTTTGATCATAGGTATGTTCATAATGGAGGATGACCGGTTTGGCAGCAGCTCTACTAGTACATTTTTCCTTGACATCAATGAAGATGCAGAGCCAGCGTTTTTTGATCGACCTGGACCTATAAAGGATAAAAATTCATTCCCATTCTTTGCTTCTAGTAAACTTGTGAAAAATCGTATTTTAAATTCGCTTACTTTGCCTAATAAAAAACATCGTAGTAGCAGCGATCCAAAAGGAGGGAAACTGTCATCTGAAAATAAGACAAGCAACAGGCGGATCAGAACGCTTACGGAGCCCAGTGTTGACTTTATTCATAGTGATGATTTCACACCCATATCCACAGTACAGAAAACATTACAATTAGAAACTTCATTTGTTGGGAATAAGCACATTGAAGACACTGGTAGTACTCCAAGTATTGGAGAGAATGACTTAAAATTCACCAAGAGTCTTGGTACAGAAAATCACAGAGAAAACACAAGCCGAGAGAGATTAGTTGTAGAAAGTTCAACAAGCTCACATATGAAGATACGTAGCCAAAGTTTTAATACAGACACTACAACAAGTGGCATAAGTTCAATGAGCTCAAGTCCTTCACGAGAGACAGTAGGTGTAGATGCTACAACTGTGGACACAGACTGTGGGAGTATGAGTACTGTGGTAAGTACTAAAACTGTTAAGACAAGCCACTATTTGACGCCACAGTCTAACCATCTATCTCTCTCCAAATCAAACTCAGTGTCCCTGGTGCCTCCAGGTTCTTCTCATACCCTTCCTAGAAGAGCACAGTCCCTTAAAGCACCCTCTATTGCTACAATTAAAAGTCTGGCAGATTGTAACTTTAGTTACACCAGTTCTAGAGATGCCTTTGGCTACGCTACACTGAAAAGATTACAGCAACAAAGAATGCATCCATCCTTATCTCATTCTGAAGCTTTGGCATCTCCAGCGAAAGATGTGCTGTTTACAGATACCATCACCATGAAGGCCAACAGCTTTGAGTCCAGATTAACACCAAGCAGGTGAGCAAAGACATGTTTAAAACTAACAACAGTGGTTGCCAGGTTTTACATCTGCATAAGCCTCAGAAGTGACCTATTATAATTGTTTACTATGGTAGGCTATAAGCTCCTAGTTACCCGATATGATTTGAAATGGATTCTTGCAGCTGCGAGGGGGGAAAAGAAACTCCTTTAGGCCCTGAAAGTAAACATATATGCTTTGCAAGGACACACAAGTCACAAGCTTTTTTTTTTTATTTATTTCTCGCTTCTGCAAGGATCGATTTTAAAAAGAAGCATGTTGGGGGAATCAGGAGCTTAAGACCTACAATAACAAACAACCTTTTCAGGTAGGTCAATTTAAGGCTCCAAAAGTTGACCTCTTTTTTCTTTTTTTTTTTTTTAAGATAACAAAATTTCAGTGAAATTCTTTTCAGTTTGTTTTGAGTAGGTGTGATTATTAAGTAGCAACCTAATGAACATTAAATGAATTACTTGGCCCTCAGGATCAGCAATAGCAGTTTGCTTATGCTCAAGAACATTTAGGGGAGGATTTCTATGCCATATCTAAAGATTATATCAAGCTGGTCAAAGTAAACAATTTAGATTTTACCTTTAAAAGACATGCAATTTTAAATATGATTGTTGCAAAAATTTCTCTATTTTTTGTTGTTGTTGGGCCAAATACTTCTAAAAACTTTCTTAGTTTGAGATTATTCATTTACATTTATTTAAATGGTTAGTATTTGTCAGATACTGAGAATAATGCCTGGCACATCTTAAGCGCTCAATAAAAGTTAGTTATTGTTATCATCATCATCATTATCATTATTGGTGGTTATTTCTTTAGTGTAATCTCTTGGCTTTTATATAACCAAATTCTTAATAATGTTAAGTTATTAAGCAGTTTTGTTTCAATAATTTTAACACATTTAGTAGAAGGGGTACCTGGTAGCAGATAATCAATTATATCTCCTTTTGTAGAATTTCATAAATTATGTAGTAATCTCATCTACCTGGAACTCACCGGCTTTGGTACCCACATCAATTCAGAAGAAAGCCAGGCAAACCTCTCAATAGCTCACCACTATAAATCTATGCAGTAAAGTTCATGAATTTTATTCAAAAAAGGTACCTCTGACCCTCAAAGTTTGTTGATATTTTCTAACAAGCTTGAGTGTCAGGCTTTCAGGCCTATAGAAGCAACAATTAGAAGCTTCTACTGGTAGGTACACTGTAACAGGAAATGACAGCTCATAAAATTGGTAGCAAAGGAGGAAACTTTTATACTACAACAAAGTATTTGAAAACTCAAAGACCGAAACAGTCTGTTAGCGTTCAGCCAGGGGTAGTAAGTAACAGAGCACACTGAAATGAGCAGTAGAAGTACCACCATCTTACAGCTCAGTACAGTAGCTGAAGTCTTGTTAACTCAGAACCATCCAGTTCAATTTATTATATCTCATTGAAGCAAGTATTTCTATCCAAATTGATTAAGCATAGATAAAAAGTGGTAGTGCTTAAATATTCATAAGAATAAACCAAAAAAGACAGCTATGCCAAATCACTTATTTCCTCACCAGTCTGGGTTCTTAGGATCTTATTCCGGTATTCCCTTTTAGAACAGGAGAAGAATATTTGGAAATTGTGCTCCTAAACTGCCAAGTTATTGTCATTATAAAGGATGAATAGGTGTTTTTAATATCTTAGGAGGGGAAAAAATCGAAAAAGCACTCAAGGAAAATAGGAGCAGTTTGTACAAAGGCATGAAGAAATAACAAAACTTCATGTTCCTCACATCTTTCATTTATTCTTCAAATTGTATTTAGCATTTAGATTCCTTGTAGGAAAAAATTGTTGGCATTAATCTTATTATTCCTATTTCTATCCTTTGGTTGATTCAGAGAAAATGAGAATGATGGAAGATAACTACAAATTTACTTTAAAATAATAGTTTGGAATCCAGGCTGAGAAGATTTTTGTTGTTGTTACTTTCTTATAAAATTAAGAGTAGGCATATTGTTACCTGTGGTATGATGGCTGATGTGAATCCAGCAGTCTGAAAAATCATCTCTTACTGAGATATTTCCTTGGAGCATGGAAGAAAAAACACTGAAGTAGGAATCCTTGATCTTGAGTTTTAATACTGGCCCTGAGTGAATGAACTTGGACCATGTTCCGTAAATTATGCTGTCTTTTCTGCCTGGAATTTGACGGCTTTACAAACCTCATCAATCCAGAACAAAGCCAGGCGAACCTCTCAGTTGCTTACCATTAGAAATCTATGTTGTAAAGTTCATGAATTTTGAAATATCTAGGCCTCAGTTGCCTCATCTAGTGGAGTTTGGACTAGATCAGTGGTTTTAAGCTTTTTAAATGGTGCTTTTTAAATAGAGAAACCCTTTCTTCACAAAAACATTTCTATGGAAACCCAGTATGTAGAATAGATAAAAATGGAACTGTTCTGTTTGAAATAGGGCTGGGAAGGCCAATAATCCAGTAATTCCTTCTCCTCTACTCCAGCAGTCCTTGAAGGGTTTTATGGAATTAGAGAGATATAATGAGTACAATTTAAAAACCACCAGCCTATTTTATGAAATTTGTAAATTTCAATTATGAGTGGTTTTAGGTGGAAATTACTAGAAATTAGGGGTGGTTTTGCTATGCTAATATTAATAGCTACTATTTATTAAGCATGTATTTTGTTTGTTTTACAAAATAATTCTTTGTTTTAATATCAGGCTACATTATTACACTTTAAATGAGTTGGGTTTCCAAATAGCAATATATATATATATATATGCTGTGGAACCTCGCATGGTGCCTTGGATGTACAAAGCAGATGTCTAGTAAATATTTTAGCACGCGTATTGCGTGGACAAGGATCTATATGAGAGAGGTGTATCTTATGGAAATGTCAGTGCTTCATATAAGGCTATCTCTTGTAATATTTACAAATGATACTATTTTTGCTATTTTGTATCTGTCTTCTGTGTTAACATAAATCTTACGTTGATAAAGCATTGATTGTCACACAAAGAATAAGTAATTATTTTTCATGAAAATGGTTAATAATAAGTACCCTTAGTTATATGATGGCCAGCTGTGGTGGTCTAGTTGTTAAAATTCGGCACTCTAACTGCCATGGCTGGGGTTCCTTTCCAGATCAGGGAAACTACACCACCCATCTGTCAGTTGTCATACTGTGGCAGCTACATGTTACTATAATGCTGAAAGGAAATATCAGCGGGTCACCCATGGTAGACAGATTTCAGCAGACCTTCCAGACCAAGACAAACTAGGAAGAAGAAAGAAAGACCTAGCCACCCACTTCTGAAAAAATTGGCCATGAAAACCCTATGAATAGTGGCAGAGCATTGTCTAATATAGCACCAGAAGGTGAGAGGGTGGCACAAAAAGACTGGGCAGGGTTCCACTGTGCTGTGCACAGGGTTGCTAGGAGTCGGAATTGACTGATCTGCCCTGACAAGTTAGATGATAGCAAATCTAGCAATCTCAAATGATTGTGCAGATAGTCCTTGGATTATACCTCTGACCTCTGAGGTCAGTTTTTTTTACTTCTAGATATTGAAAGTTATCTTAATAGCCCACCTTTTCACTTTTGCCTGGGAGACCGTAACAGTTGTTTTTAGTAACAGTCTACATTACTGATTACCTTTTCTATATCAATTTATAGCAGCTAAATATTTCCAAGTATTTATATGTTCTCACTAAACAATATGGCATTGTTGTGTACTCAACTATTTATTTTTTATGAAGGTATCAAAATAAATTATAATGTCTTTGTATGATTAATATTACAAATCAAGACACTAATGCGAGTGGTTTCTTTTATGGTATTGTAGGTTCATGAAAGCTTTAAGTTATGCTTCGTTAGATAAAGAAGATTTATTAAGTCCTATTAATCAAAATACCCTGCAGCGATCCTCTTCAGTGAGGTCCATGGTGTCCAGTGCAACATATGGTAGTTCAGATGACTATATTGGTCTTGCTCTTCCAGTAGACATCAATGATATATTCCAGGTATTAAAAGTTCCACTGTTTTCTTATGAGTTGATTTTCTGTTTTTTCACATTCTGTAATTGCTTACTAGAAATTATGATTTAGAATGAATACTAATTTTGGGGGCGGTGACGTTTTAAGGCAGTTTTGTTGAAAGAAATTTTATGATGAAAAGTTTTTTGCCTTTCTCAGCTGTCCCATGTTCTTTTATTTAGTATCTCTGAGTCCCCAGACCATTATCCTTCCTTCTCTTCCCATACTAAATTGGCATCTTGTTTGACTTCTTTATTAGTATATTCTCTTTAGAAATTTAGCGAATTCCTAACCTTGCTTTTTAGTCACATTTGACTTATTCTTTCTTGTTTTTTTTTTCTAATTGAGATATCATTGACATATAACTTGGTGTAAGTTTGAGGTGTACAACATATTCCTTGCTTTTTTATCCTTGATCCTGTTTATCCCATACAGGGCAGCCGCATGTTGTGCCCAGTCATATAAAGTGACCCTCATTGCATGTAATCCTAATCACAAATCTCTAGATGATAGGTAGTGCAAAAGAGTACACATTTGCTCAGAAGTCTAAAGACATTTTAGATAAGTTCTAAAATAAGTATTTTAATATCTATTTAAGTCACCAAGAATAAATAAAGACTTTAAAGGATATTTGTTATTTTGTCAAGTTTTGGTAATTTAACCTTCTTCAGTAAACTTTCCATTGTGAGCTCTTGTGCTGTAGTAATTCTATTTAAATTACATTTTATTTAATTTTGCTAATATTCATAAAGTGGATTTCTTTTTATAGCAGGACTTAACTGTGATTTATATCTATTTTAGGTAAAGGATATTCCCTATTTTCAGACAAAAAACATACCTCCACATGATGATCGAGGTACAAGAGTGTTTGCTCATGATGCAGGAGGTAATGTGTGGTTTTATTCTCATGAGACTCCTCTTTATATTAAAAAGAAAATTCTTTTTAACAGAAAGCTAATTAAAAAGAAAGTTCTTTTCAAGTAGGATGACACCAAAAATTCATGTATACTTACTTTTGGGTCAACTTAAAAATTATACCAAAATAATTGTTTGAGTCAATTTAAAATTAAACCATAATATTTTTTTGTGAGGGACATAAGAAAGTGTTTTTCCAACTAAGTACCCAGCCTTTCAAGAAGACAAAAACTGGATCAGTTGCTTCTGTTTAAAAAAAAAAAAAATACGTAAAAATTTTTAACGCTAATCCTTTTAGGTCTAAGAAACAGCTGTTTGGGGGAAAGGAGAGAGATAAACATGTACTTATACATTACGTGATCTCTCTTTTTTATGAACTATAATATTTTAGTATATGCATAACAGCCACAGGTTTAAAGCTTCATAATCTTGAAGATTGTTTCTAACATGTACCTCTTTAGACTCAGAATTATTGCTTTTCTTTATGCAAATGTTGAGGATAATTGAAATGATGCCTTAATTGTATAATCTTAATTTTCCATTTTGTATCTAAAACCTCACGTTAAAGTAGTATCAACATATATTCTGGCTTTAATTATTTTCCTAATTCAAAGCAAATGATCTTTTTTTCTCCCCAGTTTAGGTTAGATTTTGAGTCATAAAACGAGTTTTGATTTTCTTCCCTAATTTCCTTTCTTTAAAATTTCACATAGTTTAAGGCATCTTGAAAGAGGTGTCATTGATATTATTACTATCTTTATCAGATTATGTTTTATATTTACTTATGCACAGGTCTTCCATCTGGAACTGGAGGTCTTGTAAAAAACTCTTTTCACTTGCTACGACAGCAGATGAGTCTTACGGAAATAATGAATTCAATCCATTCAGATGCTTCTCTGTTTTTAGAAAGTACAGAAGACACTGGACTTCAGGAGCATACAGATGATAACTGCCTTTATTGTGTCTGTATCGAAATTCTGGGTTTCCAGCCCAGTAACCAACTAAGTGCAATATGTAGTCATTCAGGTGAGTGATTATGTCCGTCTAGGTTAATCGACCTGAATGTGGATCTCCTCCAGTTACAAGTCATCTCCCAGCCCTATTAATCATCCCTCTTACTCCATTTTCACTGCCTCAGCCTTCGTTCAGTCACTCATCATCTCCATATTAGAGTCTTAGTGTTTCAGTCTCCGGTTTTGGCCCCTTCCAATTCATCTTTCATATTGTTGCCTGGGATTAATCTCTTGATGATTCCATACTGACTATTCATGCTCAGCAAACAAGACTCTGTGTGTGACCTGCCTGGTGTCTTTTTTCAACCATTCTCCTGTCTTATAATCCATACACTATTACTGACTGACTTGAAGTTTTTGAACAAACTGTGCTTTTTTTTTTATGACTCTAGGCATGAAAAATGTATTTTTCCCTGCTGTTCTCTCTTGCCTTTCCCTTTCCTTACACACATATAAGCTCACACACAGGCACACACCTCGTCCACCTCATCCTAAGCGTCAGGGATTTTGTATCTGCAAAGTTTTCTCTGACACACTAAGTGAGACGTTGACATCCCATCCTCTTTACTCTTGTTGACCTTTGTACATAGATCTCTTATGATGATTATTGCTTAGTTATTTTTTTCCCTTCTACTCAATAAGTTCCTTTAGGGTATGGTCTGTCATGTCTTTTCATTTTTATATTTCTAATACCTAGTTTTGTACTGCTTTGCATAATAGGCACTCAATGTGTTTTTGGTGAGGGAATAAATAAATTGAACCCAGATTCAGCTTTTCCATATGATTCAACAAGTGACATATATTAGCAATGTAAAATTAGTATATATGTGTTTGAAGTGTTACCATAGAAACCTTTTCTTGGTGAACATCGCTTAGCTACCCTCAGGAAACCCAGTGATGATGAGAGTTCTCTGGGTCACTCTTCCAAATTTCTCCTTGGAGTTCTGATTCAGAGCTTCCCACCTGATGGGTTGCAGCACACTGATGTGCCACAGATAGGATATGGGTATGCCAAGATATTAATCCCCTCAATGATTCCATGCCCCAATAGGGCCCAGGTTTGACAAGCCCTGCACTGTGATACGTCCCACTGTGAACAGCCCTGTCCAGGGCCCCAGCATGCTGTAATTATTTTCATTTGCTGTGAGTGAAAAGGTTTGGGCAGTGTTGTTCTGAAGTATTGCACACAGTAAAGATGCTGTCATTTGGCTGTACATCGTTTATGATGCTTTAGTTCCTGAAAATTCCACTTCTTCATTTACTTATTCAACAAATACTTATGGAGCGCTTACTATGGAGTTTTTGCTATACTGTTCTTTACTTATGTATCAAATAAGAAATACGGAAACCAGCCCTGTAATTACCCAGTCACAAGATAATCACAGCTAGTTCTAATCCATTTGTGCTCTGTAGCTGGGAGAGTGGTCAAGCAGAGTGTCGTGAAGTTTGGGACTTGGGAAAGACTTCCTGCAGTTGAAGAAGCTCTTACCTCAGCACAGCCATTAGAGCCCCTCGGCTTGTTATTCTAGTGACATGAAGTGTTGGATTGAGGAGCAGCAGGGGAAGGATGATTCTTAATTGGAAAATGATTACAGTTTACTGCTGATACCCATCTTGGAGCTGTGAAGGGAGAGAGACTAATTGTTAAAAAGTCACTGAACCCTTACTCATTCATACACTCAAATATTTATTACACCTCTACCATGGGTCAGGTGTTGAACTAGACGCTAGGAGAACAATTGGGAGAGAAAAAAAAAAGACACTAATTTTGCTTTCTGTGAGCTTTAGTCCTGTGGGGAAAGAAATGGATTGATTGATCAGTCAATCAATTGATTATACAAATATAATACTGCATTTGTAACAAGTGCCATCAAGAATAGATACATGGTATTAGCAAAGAAATATAATCGAGTAGGCAGATCAAAAATGAATCTGAAGAAAATAGAAGCCAACTAAGTGAAGACTGGAGTATGGAGAATTTTAAGACAGAGGGAACAGCATCAACAAAGGTGTTCTGATGGGAGCGAGCATAGGAAGTAGAAGGGACTAAAAAGACCTTTGTGAATGGAGCTCAGAAAGCAAGGGGAAAGGAGATACAAGATCTGCCTAGAAAGATAGATAGAAACTGAGCCCTGCAGAGCCCTTGTTACCCAAAGTGTGGTGAGTCGACCAGCAGCATGAGCATCACCTGAGAGCTTGTTGGAAACGTAGAATCTCAAACTCCACTCCACACACAATCAGAACCTGCATTTTAACAAGAGTCCTAGGTTATTCATGTATACCATACAGTTTGAGAAGCACTGCTATAGGCCATGTTAAGGATTTTGTCTATCAAAAAGAAGACATCATCATCTATGGAAGATAACTAAAAATTAGTCCCTCTACTATTTAATGATCATTTTAAAGGGACGTCAAGACTTGAACACAAGACATTTCATTCTCTAAAATTTCCTGTCTGATAAGGTGGTGGTTCAAAAATGTTAAAGCTCAGAGTAAAGGCCATTAGAAAAGGATATTTAGTAACATTTTATTCTGTGTCTTCCACCTTCACAGGTGTTTATGCATTGTATGGTTCTAGTGTGCAAGGCAAAATGTTGGCCTTTCAAAATTTAGTACTGTACATTTCTGTTGAATCTAATTTATAGTACACCACATTTGCCCTAGTCTAGCTTACCAACTTCAAACGGGAAACCTTATAAATGTTTTAGACTAGTCCATCTGTGAAAGAGAGAGCATTAGAAAAAAATCAATGCACTATAAAAGATAATGGCAAGATCAGTTTGAATGTCTAGGTTATTAAATTGACAATTTGTGAGGAGTGGGTAGAAACTACACAGGGCAGAGGAGGGCCCTAAAGAGACAGTGGTGGTCTTCAAAGTTATTTTAGTTGCAGAATCCATGTTTCAGTCAAAATCTATGCAAAAGACCAGTGATATGCAGATGATGGTATAAGGGGAATAAGGAGGTGGATCCCATCTACCTGGCCTTGCCCAAGTGATAAAGTGGGGGCGGGGGGCCGGAAATGCTGCTTCTCCAAGAACCATGGAAGACCACTGGTGTAAACACAGCAGAGCAGTGAGCTCTGGTGCCAAGACTTAGGCTCAAAGCCACAGTTTTTCACCTAATTAGTTATTTGATCTTGGACAATCTACCTAATTTTGCTGAGCTTTAGTTTTTATTTTTGCTTAAATCTCTAAATGAGAATAATGACACCTACCTAATGGTGTTGTTTGATATTTAATAATATGTAAGATTAGCATTTACTAAGCTCTCTGTAAATGGTAACTCACAGTAAGTTATTTATGCTAGAACTGATAGTCTCTCCTAAATTCTGATAATTCAGTTATGGTGATCTTACTGTGCTCCTAAGGAAAAACTCCTTGCTCACTTCGTTTTACATCTCCTGCTGCCTGAGAGTATTGGTTATCAAGTGATTATATATATATCAGAGCTAAAGCTCCTCACAGAAATTCTTAATTTTTTTCGTAAATAATTATTTCAGCATTTTCCATAAGCTATTTTGGGGCTTACTGCTTTCTGGTAGGAAAAAATTAACTACAGTTTTTCCGAATGAACCTGTATGGATTTATATTTATTATTTTTTGCTCAGAGCTTTTTATTCTTTCTCACATGTAGTGGCATAATTTAGCTGGAGTCGGCCTTATGCTCAGATACATGGAGTAAAGAAGATGTCTAGTCTCTTAGGGTTCGGTCTATCCTATGCTTCATATCTCCATTTTCAACTGAAAGATAAAATAAAGCTAAGATAGACTATTATTAGTTAAAAAGAAAGGAAACAATAAAAGCAAACAACTACAGTTAAGAAGCTAAACATCAATCATATAGATAAAATGATTTTGTTTATGGACAAAATGCTTCATCCAAATTAAAAATAATCTTGAAGTGTCTTGAATAAAACTGTGTCCAGGTGCATTGCATCAAATACTTCTTAAGAGAAGGTAGAAAAAAGGTCCCTAAAGGTAAATATCATCAACTTAGTATGCACAGTTTTGCTTTTGACAGAATCGTAGATGTTATCTTCCATGTCTAAGAAAAAGTAGGCCAACTAGCTGTTCCTTGCCCCATTTCCAAGGGTTTTGGTTCTCTTTATTCTGCCAATTTATAAATAGTGCCCATGTTGTGCCCACATGTTCTCTGTAGTTCCCATTTAACACATGTAGTTATTTCATTAAAGAATTTGTTCATATGGTTTAGCATGTTTCACAAAAAAACAGGCCCTATGTAGTAAACAGCTTCTGTTATCATTATGCTTAAGATGCTGTTTCACATCTCCAAATGGGATAAACTGGTTATTTTGGAACCTGACTTAACTAGAAGAATGATTTTTTTTTTTTTTTAATGAGAATGAATGACATCTTTAGAAATAGGATGCATTCTAACAGGTTAGAAATGTTAGGAGTCATCACTGGTTGAAGGTGAAGCAGAAATAAATTATTTTATAACTTTTCAGAAACATATCAATTGAAGAAAATATAGCTTTCTTACTGTTACCTGTGCTGGAGTATTTTGTCATTGTACTCCTTGGGTAGTTCATCAACTGAGTCTAAAATAATATTTCCATCTCTTATCTGTTTATTCAATATAACTGGTTTTTAAGTACATCTTTAGTTCTCAGATCTTTTGGCAATAGTTTTATTTTTTAAATTAATGTATAATTTAAGTAGCATGTTTTACTTTTAAGTGCCTGACAAGAAACATGATGTCCTTGATAACCAAAATTTAAAACTATGCTAAATTTATAGATCTTCTTTTCCAGGGAACCAAAGCATTTTCTGCTTAGTATTATATAAATAGTAATCTTAGGAAGTACTTAGAGATGAGTTGAGGTGATGATATTTCTATTCTGTGGAAAACAACATAGGGAGAGGTAGTGTGTGTTGATGTTGATCTAGTTTCCTGGATTTCTAAAAATATAGCTTTTTTTCTCTACTCTGACAATGTGCTGTAGTGGAAAGAGTACTGGGCTAGCTATCATGATGTCTTACTTCTGGCTGAGTGTGTGTCTCCTCTCTCTGAATCTCTTTTCTTTCATGAAATGAAAGCTTTAACTAATTTCAGGTATTTCTTATAGTAGTAAAGTTATATGATTTTATAGGTTGCCCACTGTTAACTCCCTGAACAGATGACCAAAGACTTGCTGATTTCCATTTGCTCAATCACTTGATTTAAGAGCTCAGGATAATTTTAAATAAAAAAATTCATGTCATTTTAGCAACATCAGGATGTTTAGTGGACTTCAGAATCCCATCTTGGAGTACCTTAGCAAAGATTCATGGGTAGTAGATTTATTCTAAGGAATGAAATGATAATTCAGGGAAGTATGATTCTTATATTGGTAATTATTAAATGGGGGGAAAACAAGTCATAGAATAATATATATAGTACAATCCCACTTATATACCCAAAGAGCAAGAAAGAGAAATTAAAATAGCAAAAGATCTGAAATTATATATATATATCTCAAACCTTTAACCATATTTACCTATGGAGAGGGGTAGTTAGTTTGGGGATGGGAAAGGGGATAGATAAGGTGTCTTCACTTTTTATTCTGTACGCATCTTTATTTGAATTTTTAAAATAATCACATATTAATATTTTTGTAATTTAGGAAAATAAAATCTTATGTAAAAATGTCTTTAGAATTTAACAAATTTCACTATCTGAGCAGTCTGAATTTACTTTGAAAATCTTCATCATGGAAAATAATTGTTGAAAACTGGATAGAAGTTACAAGGAATCATCTCCTCTGTAGGATATAATGCAAGCATAGGAACTAAGCCATTGTGATACTTTAATTGAAATAATTTTTTTCTTCAGACCTTCAAGACATTCCATATTCTGATTGGTGTGAGCAGACTATCCATAATCCGTTAGAAGTGGTTCCCTCTAAGTTTTCGGGAATTTCTGGATGCAGTGATGGAGTGTCTCAAGAAGGCTCAGCCAGCAGCACCAAAAGCACAGAATTGCTACTAGGTAAGTTGTCAGATTCAAATCTAAGCATTGTTAATAAAACTATATTTAGTTTTGTTGTTGTTGTTCATAAATAATGTTAACGAAAGTTATCTCAAAACTATGACTAGTCAGTTTTATTGAGGCATATTTAGCCAGTTTTTGCACCTGTATGCAAACTGATATGTACCCTCTTAGCTGTCTGCTTTTAGTAGAAAGAATTTTGCTCCCAAAATGACCAAGAGATTAGCGCAGTTTATCTCAGTTTTAGATCTTTAGATAAAGTTTAAAAACAAATTCCATGAGTTATAACCATTTCCTAATGTGATATAGATGAAATATTTTATCTTCTTTTCAGGTGTTAAAACAATTCCAGACGATACACCAATGTGCCGTATACTCCTTCGCAAAGAAGTTCTAAGATTAGTCATTAATTTGAGTAGTTCAGTTTCAACAAAATGTCATGAAACTGGGCTTTTAACGTAAGTAAACTATGAGTATTCTTTGTTCTGCTTTTTTATGGTGAAAAAGATACTTGAAATACTTCAACAATTGGACTAATTACCTTCCATTGGTAGTTCTCAACTGTATGGGATATCTGTGGGAGGCTAGATTTTCTTCATATACATCAAGCAAAATAACATAGGCAAACAGATTAAATGCAGAAGCAGGTATGTGGATCTAGCTATCTTCTATTAAGCCAGACTTTAAAGAGATCTGTAGAAATGTAAAACAGTACCATTCTTCTCATTTTTTTAGTTTTGGAAAATAATAGTTATCTTTCATTAAAATATATATTTATGTTAACATGTAATGGATTTATTTTTTTAAATGAATTAATAAATATCTTGAAATTTTCTCAATTTTAACTTGTGGTAATTATCAATGGCTATAGCCCACAAAAAATAAACTTTCTGGAGTCCTCAGTAATTTTTAAGAAATTAAGGGAATTATGAGACCAAAAAGTTTGAGAAAAGCTGGCCTATGTAAAACAAATAATATTTTCTTGGTTTAATTTTTCCTTATTTTTCTTTCTTTCTCTTAATAAAAGTTGCAGAATTTTTATTGTTTTTCTAAATCACAGCAACATGATAAAGGAAAATTCGGACAGTCGTCAACATCTTTGATTTGCACTATTTAAAGCAGTGGTCCTCAAAGGAAATACACTTCAGGGTCTCCTGTGGGACTCTAAAAAAATAATAACACAGATGCCAGGGTCCCTGTACAAACCTCCTGGCCAGTAGCTCTAGGGGTAGTAGGTCTTTAACCTGTGTATCACCCCACCTCACCCCACAGCCAATTCTGAGATGCTATCCCAGCTAAAAACCACTGTTTGAAAGATATAAAGAGATAGCCCAGTCAAGGATACTGATAACTTCAGTCTAACTTTAAAAACTTCTTTCTATTTTAAAACGTAATTTTTAAAATATGTGAGTCATTCTAGGCTGATAAATAAATTTTGCAATTTCTCATGCCAGTGGAAAAAATATTTCTAACTTTCCAAGAAGCATTTGGATTTTGATCATTTTAAGACATAACCCCAGACTTAAAATGTCTAATTTAAGTGTGAAGTGGGAATATTTAATATTTTATATTCTATGCCGTCACCCAAAAATGCCATCTAATCAGTATCTGGAGAAAAAATATTTAAAAAATGATGTTTTGTAGGAAAAATAGGTAAGGCCTTATTATAGTTTTTTATCACACCATAGTCTTGTCTTTTGTTTTAGAATTAAGGAGAAGTATCCTCAAACATTTGATGACATATGCCTTTACTCTGAGGTTTCCCATTTGCTGTCACACTGCACATTTAGACTTCCATGTCGGAGGTTCATACAAGAATTATTTCAAGATGTACAGTTTTTACAAGTAAGTAGAATTTTTACTTAGGAAATTTATCTTTTAAGAATAATTCTGTTTGAATTAAGTTAAAAGGGAGATTATATCTGTTGATACACTAGACGGTCATTAACAGTTTACCACTTCTTTTCTAGATGCATGAAGAAGCAGAGGCTGTGTTGGCAATACCACCAAAGCAACCTATAGTTGATACATCTGCTGAATCCTGACCTCATATTTATGATGTATATAGATGTATACTATATATATTCATATTTGTGGATTTCCTACAAGCCTCAGAAAATGCTGACTGACTGGGCAGCGAAGACAGGAGCATCTTCTGTACACTGTTCCAGCAATTACTGGTACATGAACAGTTGGAACTGCAGACTTACCCTAACCAAAACAACTTCCTCTATCCCCCGTTGAGCCCTTTTGGGGGTTCATTGTTAATTACCACAGTTTTAAGAGTTTTAGTTAACCATTGTATGCAAGAGCCAAGCACTGAATACCTACATAAGTTTTCTGTTTTTTCATTTTAAGAGCATAATAACAGTGGAACAATAATAGGATATGCTGAAGCACTCTTCACACAGTTATTTCTGAATTCTTTTTTTAGAGTTAATACAAAGATGCCTTGTTTGTTAACTAATTCGTGGAAACCAGAAATCGGTGTCTCTGAGGCTACATCCTGTTACCACGACAGGGTGTGCTTTAACTGCTGGTATCAGAGGGGGAACTTCGGCCCTTCCACATTTTTCTTAATGTTTCTAACACTACTTCAGAGGTTTGTAACCTCAAAGCGAAAGAAGAGCCTCAACAACCCGGGACTTATAAGTTATTTTTATGTTGCTAGACTTGCATAAAGTTTCTTATTTGTTTTCTGTCTATTAAGTTTTGTTGCAATGTATTATTATAGGCTATTTGAACTGATTAAGGTTTTTCACTACAGTTCCTGATTAAAATCAGAAGATCATTTTGTAATTCAAAGTATTTCTCATTTATAGAATGCATATATTTTCAGTGGACTTCCGTTTTTATCAACTTCCCATATCACCATTTAAACAGGAACTTTAACAAGCACTATTAATTTAGACCTAAAGCAAAAGAAAGCATTAAATAACACTTTGGATCTCTTGAGGAAATGATAAGTTTGCCTACAATTTACACATTCCATGGGAAAAGAAGAGCCATATTTCCTTTTAAGAAATCATTAATAAACCTTATTACAATTAAAAATTGTAGTGAAAAGCCTTAAGTACCAAATTTTAAAGCAGCAGTAATTTAATTTTTATATCAGTGTTCTTGTTTTGCACAAACTAAATGCAGTGATAGGTGAGTTTATGAGTACAGTAATTGCCTTTATCACATTTGTGAAGTTAAGTTGATGAGGGCAAGATTTTGTTTATTTGTGTGTTTAATTTGTATATGTCTAAAGATATTTGGAAATCTTTACAGGAATTAAACATATGCAAATTTGTGTATAAAAGTAGCATAGCCATTATCATTTAGAATGCTTGTAAATGAAAGGATTATCTTTTTTGAGGTCTATATATAAACAGAAAAAAAATCCAGCTGGACTGATTAGGACCCTTTTTTAATTCATTTGTGTATACCATTCTTACCGTTACACAGCAGCTTTGACACAGTCGTAGTACATTAATATTTTCCCATATCCTTTTTATAATGGGCTTGTTCTTTGAGATCTCTGTAAAGAACCCTGTGAACTAGAAAACATAACTCACAGAGATAGTTTTGTTTTGTTTCTTTTAATTTACTGGCACTGAAAGTTCCAATTGGGATGAAGCATTTCATCTCACTTCATAACACCTCTTTGACTGCACTTCAGTGAATTGTTCTTATGTGCACTGTGTAGCAACTTACATTATAACAAAACAGATAAGGGCTGTAAGCTGCTCCTTATGTTAAAAAGTGGTTCTTCAGCTTTTCTCTCGTAAAATCCAATTGAAGATAAAACAAATACTTTTTTTTTACCTTTAATTTATCACTGAACCCCAGTGTTTATTTAAATGTCAACAGTACTTCTAAGAACGTTGCCTGTCACCTTGGTCTTTGGTCTTGGATAATTAAACTGCCTTCCAGAGAACCAAATGTCAGAGATACTAGACCAAATAGTGGTTAAAAACTCCAAAGGAGGTAATGTAGTAATCTTATTCATAGTGGGATTAACATATTTTAGACATTCATTGTAAACACTACCTCAGTTAATAAAGACTATAAAATCTGTGGTTTAATCCCTCAAAAGTTAACAGTAGTTCTTTTTTGTCACATACACACAACCATCCCCATGCCTAGACCCCACGTCACTCACCCCTCCTGAAATGAAGTCTTCGTTACTATTAGCCTAAACAGGTTGTTGACTATTTCTTTGAAAGACATGTATGTATACATCATAATATTTGCCTATAGCACTTAGTTTGGGGAGACACTCAGAGCTTTGTGGTTATCAGTAATCTAAGAAAAGAAAGTCTGTAACTTAAATGTATAGTGCTGTTTGGTTTATCCATATTTTACTGACAGGTCTAATACGTTTTCTTTAAGTACTCATTAGTATAAAAGTAGACTTTTATGATGAAAAATGCTCACATGCAGTGCCAAGTGATTAACTTAGGTGTTTAAAAATCTTAAATTATAGCTGAAAAGGTTAGGAATGGTGTCAGTGGTAATAGAAATAATTGAGAAAATTATCTATAAATAACAGATATTACCAGACTATAAAATACCAGAATAATGTCAATACTGTAGTTTTTTCAAGATTTTAGAATTAATCTCAGTCCATATAAATTTGTACTGTTGGTAATTATTGAATAATTTGGAGGAATTTGGGCAGTTGTACTGGTTGTAAACTGTGAATTTCTAATTGTAAAGTGAATTGTCATTTCTAATTGAAATTTTTTTTCAAGAACAGATTTCAGCTTCATATACTAAGTAAATACTGATAAATAAGGAACTTAGAAATTAGTATTTGTAATTAAATATGATCTAAAATTTCTTATATTTTTATTTCCTGTTTATGCTTAGGTAGATTGCTGGGGGAGGGAGTCTGTTCTCCCTAATAAAAATTTTTCTAATAAACATTGGTAGCATAAGGACATTCTGTAAGACAGTGACATTAAAAAAGGCTCTTGTCGAGGTATACATTATTATACTAGTTACTCTAACACCTTGTGTACAAGTCCTTTTGAAATGGTGGCTTTAATAGTTTTCAGCTCTTTTATCCAGAGCTTGAGATAAAGTTGAGTTTTTCAGGGCATATTACAATGGCAAAGTGTTCAACAGTGAGGTGTCAATGCTTACTCAGATTTGTCTACTGCTATTTATATAAAAATTGTTTTCATTTCATTCAGAGGATGCCTTTTACCCCCACGTTAAAGCACAGATCATTAAGCAATAAAAACCAATCAAATTATCATCCAAATTATAACTGCGATTATTTTTGCATGGTAAGAGTGAGGTGCTAATTTTGTGTGAGATGAGCTTTGTAAACTACCTTGGGAAAGGTCCTTTGGAAGTAAGGTTTTTCCCCTTTAGTCCTATGCTTCCAGTTTTGTCTCAAATTCACAATCCATTAAAACATGGGAAAAAAGAATAGATTAAATTAATTGAGAGAGTTTTATGAGAAGAGGTGTTGGAATAAATCTAGAATATTTGTTGGGAAAGGTCTCCCTTGTCTCCTCATTTAGGAAATACATTATTACCAGCTTAATTTCACAAGCATCACTACAGTGAGAGTTTCATTATAAAAGCATACCAGTGAAATGAATAGCAATGCTTATCAAACAATATTGAAATCTGTGAGAATCTTTCTAGGAGCATTCTTTTTTCTTTTAGTTCCAGGTTCCCAGGGTATTTTTCATTCATAGTAAGTTTATATGACTGACACAGAATGTGGATTTTTCCCCCTTTGGAGTATTTTTATAATGTAGGTGGATAGCTATGCCACAGCATGCATAAATTGCACATTTTGTTTGACTTTCTTTATAAAATATTTAATTTGAAAAATATAATTTATGCCAAAAAAGGTATACCTTGTAATTTTGCCACTAAATAGGTTGATTTAGCACAAAATGCAAAGTCTTAGGGCAGAGGGGGGGAGATAAAAAGTTTTCATAGAGAATAGTTGAAAAATGTTCCATTACTGGTCTGTCAGAAACCCTAAAGCTGCATTGTAAAAAAATGGTGTAAATTAGTTTTGAAAAGTGGTAAGGGATTGTGAAAAAAAATCTCAGACTTAATGCTCCCTAACCACATTATTTTCTTCTTTTTTTATTTAGTAATACGCTGCTACAGATTTGGAGGTTCTGGTGTTTGTAGGTCACTGAACAGACATTGAAATCTGATTTATATTGTATAACTGTAACATAGAAAGAAAAAGTATTTATATATTTTCCGTAAGAATATTTCATTGAGTTGTGTATAATTTAAATAAGATTTGTCCCCAAATGGTTTTGCTCACCCTGATTTTTGTGTGTGTGTGGTTTTCTTGTTTTTGTATAATGTGTACAGTTTATGTCAAGGGCATTAAAAAGCCTCCTGAAGTATAATCTTATCAAAGGGATACATTGTTAATAAAATGTACTTAAAATTCTTAAACTTGTGTTGTTCTGTCTGAAATTTTAAAACAATCAGTGTTGATTTGAGTTAGGTACCAGTGAGGCTGATAGATGTCACTCCCAGTTAAAGTGACGTTTAGGTACCACAGGTAAGAGTCTAGTTGAGTAACGCGTTAGTGGGTTGTTCCAAATGTCTTAAAATAGCTATTTATGCTTTTGTAAACGTTCTTCATAATCTAATCAAACATATATCTTTACAGTTTTAATTTTTAGTTTCAAATCATTATAAAGGGTTTGGAAAACTGGATCTGTCTTTAGACAGAACAGGTCTGAATTTTTTGAGAAATTAATACACACTATAAGTGATGAGGGTATGATGGTGACTTCTGTGCAAGGTATTTGATTTCTCACACGGAAACTAGCATGATCAGATAGGCTAACCTGCAGCCACCTAGTGGCAAAAGAAAATACCGCAAGGGAAATTACCGAGCCTGGAGAAGAAAATTCAATGGCAAAGCTAGGCACTGTTACGTAGTTGATTAAATGTGGTAAAATGTATGTCTCACTTTCAGAAATAGATTTGTGTTGGATAGCTTGGTCTTTAAGCACATTTCTTTATATCATTTTCCCATTGCGTTCCACTACATATTTATGTCATTCAACAAAAACGTATTTGGCCCCCAAAAAAGCACCTTTAATAATCATTATACAGCTGATCTTTGAAAAAATGTGATAATACAGCTGAACTTCAAAAAGTTTGTTTCATTTTTAAAAACTCTCTGGTATATAAAAATACTCAAAGTACTGCCTTAGTCAGGCTGCTATAACAAAATACCACAGATTGGGTAGCTTATAAACAACAGAAATTTAGTTCTCACAGTTCTGTGGGGTGGAAGTCTGAAAACAGAGTGCCAGCATGGTCAAGTGAGGACTCTGGCGGGTCCCAGACTTCTGGTTGTGTCCTCACATGGCGGAGGCAAGTAGGGAGCTCTGTGGAGTCTCTCATAAGAGCACTAATTCCATTCATGAGCGCTCCTGCCTCATGACCTAATCACCTCCCCAAGGGCCCCTTGCTAATCCCCTCATCGTCGGGGTAGGATTTCAACATGAATTTTGGGGGAGACAATCATTCAGACCATGGCAACTACTTTTGTATTATCTCCACAAAAGAAACCAAAATGTACTAAAATGCACTTTTTCTTTAATGCTTATCTTAGAGGACTAAGACAGCTACATTTGTTTAGTCCTTTAAATTGAATATATTGTGTTGTAAATATCGTTTTAACTGCTAATTCTGAAGGCTTTTTCTTTTGTCTCTCTTCAAGGGTTTTAACCGTTCTACTTTATGCAAAATGTCTTATATGTTTTGTAAAACCTTTGAGATGAAAGCCAGTTTCTTTCCTCAAAGCTCTTAGAAGAAACACTAGATGTTGTCTAATTGAACTTGATTTTCTTCGTAAATACACTTTCTAGTGGAGTCTCAGTTTCACTAGACTTGGTCCAAGTCGGGTGTTAGGATGTCAGCAGGGGCCGGCTCGGTGGTGCAGCGGTTAAGTGCACACGTTCTGCTTCAGCGGCCCAGGGTTCACTGGTTCGGATCCCGGGTGTGGACGATATAAAGGGGAAGGTGAGCACGGATGTTAGCTCAGGGCCAGCCTTACTCAGCAGAAAGAGGAGGATTGGCAGCAGATGTTAGCTCAGGGCTACTCTTCCTCCAAAAAAGAAATATATAGATAGAGGATGTCAGCAAGTGCTCTCAGCAGGGGCAGTCTCTGTTGTGTGATGAGGTCCCTGCTCCCAGTCAGAGCCCCTGCAGTCCCCTTCGTGCAGCTGAGGACCAGTCTCCAGGCTGATGTGGTATTTGTAGGTCATTAATGCCAGTCCTGCTCACCATCAGAATATCCTGATATTTCTAAGGAATTATTACTAATTTGGTTTTAGGTGCAATTTTTTAAACGTATTATGGCTATGTTAGAAAAAGTAGTGCCCATTTAGAGAACAAATATTTACGAATGAAATAGTATTATTTGCCTCAGTATCAAAGGGAGAGAGGATAAGGGTATGGATGTGCTTAAATGGCCATGGGTTAATGGCTCTTGGGGCTGATGACAGTACATAGAGGATTGTTAAACTATTCTACTTTTGTGTATATTTGAAATTCTCCATGTATGTTTTAATCCTAATAGTTGAAATGACACCTGAATACAAATTTCAAAGTTTCTGAATAATACTTATTAAAGCAATGCTGTTGCGATGACATAGAGCATTGGAAATTAGGGTTTTAAGTCCTAATTTATTTGCTTGTTATGAACACGAGAAAGGAATGTTTATAGCCAAAACTATAGTTCATAGTGTTGTACACACAAAGTTCTATAGCCCAGCATTTCCTACTGGTGTGTTATGTTTCAGAAAGACATCTTCATGTGACTTAGGCCAATGATTCTCAAAGCTGAGTGTGCATCTGAATGCCTGGGGGCTGATGAAATATAGATTCCACGTCTCATGCCACAGGGATTCTGATGAGGAGGTTTGGAATGCAACCCAGGAATTGATGTCTTTAGTAAGCTCATGAGGTGATTTATTAGCTATTCTAATTGTTAGATTTTCATTTCATCGAGGTAGAGAAAAACACAAAATAATGCAATGGTGAAATATTTTAATGAAGGCTTGTTGCAACAAGAATGACTTCAAGGTTTTGTGGATTATTTTTTAAAATCTATATAAAAGATACTATTTACAAATCAGTCATCACTGTCATTGACGTTACTGTGTACTTTTATAATTGCAAGTGACAAAGGAACACGAGGCTAAATGATGACAATACTGACCGCGAAGTCTTCTTGAAGCTATTAGACTCATCAAGATACTTGTTTGTACTACCTTAGGAGTATATAACCAATTTTTCCAACAAAAAGCTTAATTACATGTAAGGAAAAAGTTGAAAAGCCTGAACCAAAGTCATGGCTTGTGTAGGTATATTTAAGCCAGTTGACAGCTACCTTACTTTGAGATGTGGGTCCTTCACTCTCTCTATGGTGTTGAATGGCACATTAGGTATGAGAGAGGCACAGGCAGCGTCATTTCCAGTACAGCAAACAGCAAGGAACCCCCATTGATGCTTGTTTAGAAATGTGATAAACATTAACGGTTGACGGGCAGACGGAAGAGAAAGGAACTACTGTGTAGTGAAAACTTGTGATGCCACCAGGTGCTTTGCATCTATTGGCTCAAGGAGACAAAGCTGCTGCTAAGCCAATACAGGATTTCCCACTCCATATAGCTTTTTACAGTTATGGCTAAACGATGTCCAGCAATGAGGTTTCATTTTATTTATTAAGTTAGCATCATAGGAACATAAATGAGACAGGGTGTCATCTTGACGCAGACAACCTATTACAGAGTTCAAAGGATGCTAAATGAAAACAGGTCATTTATATATTAGAGTTCTTGAAAAAAAGAGGAACCATAAAACATGAATTACTCAATGACATATTTTCCTTTTTCTATTCTGAGGTAGTCATCAAAAATTGTGGCCTAAGGATTGGCGTTCACTAAGTAGGAGTGCTATTATCTGGACACTAAGTCAGGTTCCTTGCCAATCCCACTCTTTAACTGTGGTAAGCTAGAGAGAAGGACAATTATGGGCTATTATTGATGCATACACGTCTTACCTATTAGATAAAGATTCTGCCCCCAGAAGAGTTAATTTTACTGCATCAATCAACCACAAATTCTTATCCCTTCAAGCCAAGTCTAAAATCTGTTTTAGTCTCAAACTTCTGTGACTTTTTCATTAAACACACCCAGAATAAATTAACATTGACCATTTATGCTGTAGTAACAAATCTGTGGCCTTTATTAAAGGCTTAAATCTAGTTTTTTTACTCTTAAGATATTAAATGTGCGGGTGAAACTTTATGGAAATACTTTCTCACTAAAAACTGAACTTCTAGGACCATAGTCGCCCTGTCCAGGACTGAGTGGGTGGGGTCCATCCCTATGTCATGTGCCAGATCTGCCGTCACAAGGGTGAGCCTGGAACATACAGCAGCAAGGTAAGCCTGTTCCCACAGTCCTGCCATTTCTACAGCAAGCTTGCTCCAAGGAGGAATGTTAAGTTTCATAGCTTCTGACCTTGGAAACCTAGGAAGGTTGTAGTGGTCTTATATACATCAGACCTACCAATGGTGATAGCTCACTGGGATTAAACACCGAGGTATCTGGTAATAGAATGGTGTCGGCCATGCTTCTCCTAGTGTTTGTGTAGCATAAAGGTATGAAAGGAGTATACTGATTAGTGGTGGTGGTCACCTTGATCTAAGAGGGTAACCGAGGAGACGCTGCTGTTCTCACTCAGGGGAGGTGAGGCAAGACCCAGGGGTATGGCCATTTGCATTTTATACTCTGAACAGAGTGCTGGCACTGGTGGATCTGTTGGGAGACTGTCCTTGTCTCCAGACATGGGTGAAGCCAACTGGGACACATAATTCAAAGTAGTTTCTCCAGCTGGGATTTCTCCCTGGGAGTTCATGTAGTTTTTTTCTAGTGCCTTCAGTAAATTTTCAAGTGAAGTCAATAGTCCCCGCTGACTTGGGGCTGTAGGGGGTACTGGGACATGGCCACAAGAACCAGAGTTAGAAGCTGCCTGATTATAGGTGAAGTTCTCAAAACAGATGCAGGGTCCAGGGCCGGAGTAGTTCTTCTCTGCTGGGAGGAGGTAAAGGTAGGCAGGCTTAGTAATTTCAGTTTCTGTGAGTGAGTTCCTAGTGCCTGAGAACTGTATCTTACTCCCTTCCGGCTTGTTTATAACTTCAATAGCATCTGGAATGCAGTCCTTGACACTCATTATTGTTAGGTGAGGATTCTCCTGGAACAGAAACAAAAAATAGGCAAATATAACACGTGTGTGTGTGTGTGTGTGTGTGTGTGTCTATCAGAGTATATAAAGTATGAACTTAGAGCTTCACTTTTTTTCATGTCATCCTGGTCACAAAGTCACCTGAAGGTGGTTCTGAAAACCAAAGGATTTCCCCTGACAGA